GCAGGATGTCTGTTCTCCATGTAGGTCTAGCATCTTTCTCTGTACGTTGCTGCTTTTTGGGTTGATTGGTGAAGGCTGAGACCCAGGTGAGCACATTGGAATATTATTCAGTCTTTGTATGTGATCGCTGGGTTGTAAGGGAGTTTTATTTCTTATACCTCCTGCAGTAGTGATTACAGGTATTGCAAAGGTTCCCTGCCTTGGCTGTTGCCATAAAATAAACACTGCAAGGGATACTTATCCATATGCCTGATTTATCAAAAATGATATCATCTTTCGAAGACATAAAACAAAAATATTGTTTGTGTGAGATGTCCATGACTATTAGAGGCATGGTTCTGTTGCTTTGAGTTTTCACTGGCACAAGGTTGCTGAATTGCTTGAATGCTACACATTTATAGTCCTGAAAAAAATTAAAAAGGTGGTGTTGCTCAAACAAAGCAGAACTGTGTCTGCTCCTCAGGTGCTCAGATGCCTTGAGGCGCATAGTCTTCGGAAGGGAGGTTCTCCAGAAAATTGTTTGTGTTTGTAAAATTTGTCTGAGAATTTAGGCTCCAAAACCAGTATGTATTTGTGGGAAACTTGGCCTTGGTTTCTCAAAGTCTGTCCTCCACTTAGGTAGGCAAACATTTTTATCCCAAATGTTTGTCTCTCAGGAATTCTCTTTTTTGGAGAGATCTTGCTGTCTACTAAGCTACTGGTTGCATGTGGTAGTGCACAAGGTAACTGTTGAGTGGTTAATAGAGGTAGTGTTCATGTCCAAGAAAAATAAAGAAACCTCGGGCTATGTGATGCAATTCCAGTAACCTGAAATGAAACATTGTAAGACACTCTGAAAAATAAGTATTTAATGCATTCAGAACCATTACATTGGACAGTAAATTAATAAGCAGTGACTTCTGGTTATCCCTGATGGCTTGATCTAGCATTGATCTGTAAGTGTGACAGTGGTCAAATTTACTCCTCAGGCTAGTTGGTATGGAAGGGGCTGCAGTGATGGATTCCAGACTTCTTTGTAAATGTGTTAATATAATGCCATGTAAATTTTCACTTTCGTTGTGATAAAGGTGTAGATAAAACTGGCATTTTCAGTGGAATGAGCACATGAGCTGAATGACACAGGAACTTCAAAATGGGTACTAAGTCAGTGAAAGGAAATGTGTCAAAAATTGTGCCAATGAAAACAATCACAGTCTTATTCTTACATCATTGAAGGGTGTATCAGTGTTATGCACCAGTTTTAGTGCAAATTACCTTGACCAGCTGGTTCAAGTTGGTGGGGAGGCTCAGGAGGAGCAGCAGTTTGTTTCATGGTGTAGGATGCTGACTTGCTCAAGGCAGATCTGGAGTGTTCTGACAAAGAGCTAAGAGGGAAGCCTGTGGATATCAGAGAGGGTGGGAAGGAGGAAGACCCTTTCCTCTTCTCTGGAAAAAAACCAGCTTTTAAACAATAACTAATCCTCAGCAGTAGAGATGCTGTCCGTTTCATGTTGAGCAATGGCCTTTAAATACATCCTTGAGAATTAGAAACTGATAGATACATTAAATGCGAAGTAATAACACTGGTGTTAGTGCTTTGCTGTTTTGTTTTTTTTTTCCCTTAAAAAATTGTAGCTAAATCACACAGACGGCATAGTATCTCATTTTTCATAGGCAGAAACCCATGACACTGCTGGAAGGGTAGTGTACAAGCCACTGCACTGTCTTATCACCAGTCATGAGACTCAGGTGTTGACCTGTTACTTAAATCATCTTTTGATTGTGGGAATTCTTGCCACTAACTCAGCCATCTGTGTACTTAATCATAAGGAATCATGTAATAAAAGTCTAGAATGCCATCAAGTGGCTTTTGGTATATCAAAAAAGGACAGTGATATGTGGATTTTTTCCTGATTTTTTCATCAGAATATTAAAGTGAGATGGTTTTGTCTCTCTTTGATATAAAATAGAATTGGAAGTATGTATGCCATACATAAAATTTCTGTTAGTAGCATTTTGAGTGTAAATTGTTGCTATTACCAAGCTGAAGAAAATAGAGGCCATGAAGGAAAACCATAAAACACCAGCATTTTGTTCATTGATCATATTTTCCATTATATTGTTTGTGCTATGGTGTGGAAATACTATTATGACTATAATGCCTTTTTTTTTTCTTAACTGTAAGGAATGAATTCCTGCAGAATGTGTGAGTCTTGCAGGTAATATATATATATCCAGCACAGCGGCTTTAGTATATTTCCATGACATTTTTACTTAAGTTTTTGCACTACTTGTGGGTAATTGGAGGGAAAAAAAAAGAGCAACAAGAGGTTTGATTTTAATGCCTGTTCAGCTAATTGTGCTGATTGTGTGGGTTGAAGATATGCGAGTATGGCAGGCTCCAGTGATCTTTGCAAACTTTTAATTAAAATAAATTGAAGCACAACTGGTAAAAACTTCAATTTTTTTGGTTTTTCCTTCCCTTTTGCTCTCTTTTACTCCTAATATGTTGAAAGACCACAACACTTGCTTCTGGTCTGTCCATATGTTTTAACATAACCTGGTCTTGCAGCTGAAAATTCTGTCAATGTACACTTGTGACTTTTTTTTTTACCTGACTGCTACATTGTATAAAATATTTGCAATATTTGGAGCTACTTTTACTGTGTTTGGCTGAAGAAAGGTAGATAATAGACCCATCAAAGGAATAGTTAAATGGTGTTATGCCTTAAGAAGAATGCGAAGCAGATCTGCTGATGGGTTCTGGAATCCGTGCCCAGCTTCTTGGGTGGTTTTGCTACTCCTGGTTGAAATGTTAGAAAGGGAAAAAACAGCTTCTGTTCTGATGACTGACTTGCAGGATGCAATTTTGATTAGCTAGATCTGCCTTGTTCAGTGAAGTTAACGTGGTTTGACAGGACCTTGATTAGGAAGCGATCATCTCTGTTGATAGTAAACAGTTGGTCACTTTCAGCAGAGGTGGGAATGATGCCCTTTGTCTTGCATGAAGTATGATTTGTGGTTCAAGTTCTGGTTAAATTCAGAAGGAAAGTGTGGGTGGAATGGGAAAGAGTATAGTACCAGGAGTAGAAGTTTATGGTAGACTCCCCAGTCCTCTTAACATTGGGGCTTTATTGTCACTGAGAGACAAAAGAGGGAGAGAGTCACTTTGTCTTTGAAGCACTTGCAGTGTAAAGGGTTGTGAAAGAAAGGTCTGGTTACAAGACATACAGATTAGGATAACTCTGCTCCTTATTTCTCATATTCCTGTAAGATGAATTAAAAATCCAAGTATCAAGGACTACTGATTGGTGGAATACTGTGGAAAGGCAGCTGTGAGCATAATGGGGGGCTGATGAATGAAAGTATTTTTAGAGTTTAAATCTTGATGAGAATTAGCAATAACATTTTGTTGCCATGCAAATGCAGTCTCAATGACAGTATGTCCTGTCCTGTCACTGTAGTAAGAGTGATGTTAAATGTTCTGAAGGTAAAAGGTTGTACTTTGATTTGTTTTGTTTTGTTTTGTTTTGCGTACTGTGAGCTAGTCTCTGTTCCATGGTATAAAGGAGGTAATCCCACATGTGACAGGCTGAAAAAAAATTGGGTGTGTTGTGGAAACACTTATTTCTTCAAAGAATTCTTGAACAAGAAATTAAGCAATGCTTCGTGCCAGAATGTCTGTATGGTTTAATTGTTGAGGGTCTCATTCTGACAGCTTTATGCATGCAGGGGCCCAGCTTCTTGCCTGGTGGTCGTTTTAGCCCCAGGGGTGTTACGGGTGGGTTGAGGGCCCAAGTGATTGAAAAAGTATGTCCCTGCTTAGGCTCAGGAATCTCATCTCTCACTCTGCCAACTGGTTATGGGTCAGTCTTTTGTTATATGACCTAGGAAGAAATAAATATATGTGCTTAATTTCTGTTCACACTGTTGCAAGCTAAACTTTGGCAGTAATTCAGATAGCCAGTGTCAAGCTTGCTAGGACTGAGAAAAATGTAACAAATTAGACCAGATCTGTTGCTTGGATTTACATTCTTGTCCTCCTCATCTGGATGTGGTCTTGATTCAGCTAATAGGCTGAATTAATTGACGTTGCCTCCCACATACCTTGGCTAGAGAGACTACGGGGGAGGTTATATGAAGTATATGAACTCTAGCTGGCTGGGATTTTTGTAAAAGGGAAGACAGTTTTCCATTCTTATGCAATGTTTTCTGGCAAGGCAAATTGTGTCTAGCTCCATCTAGAGCCTGTCGATTCTGTAGTCTCCCTCTGCCTTGTTTTTTTTTTTTTCTTTTTTTTCCCCCACCATGTTTTAATATGGAGCACACTGTTTGGCTCATGTGGGTTTTGAAACAGATGTTGCATATGAGCAATCTCCTGCATCACGGCATGTTAAGCCAGGTAGTAGGCCACTGGGGTAAATTACTGTAGACAGACCTTTCTGCTACATTCAAACTGCATCTCTTCATATGAACCTGACATTTTTTCTTTTTTTATTTAAAGCTGAAAGAAATACTTCTTCTTGCTTACTCTTTCCCTTCTACATTTTTTAAAAAATAGCTAAGAGGAACATTTGCCTTCTATCTTTGCCAAGTTATTTAGTAGAAGAGTGTAAATTAAAGCCATTGTCTTGAAATGTGCTTTTGGAGTAGACTACATACAAGTATAAGAAATTGTAGCATAGTATTTCTTCTGGTCTGCCAGGTAAAGTTTTTCCTTTTTTCTTCCTCTTCTCAAATTTTTACACTTGGGATATTGGTTATAATATAGAAAAAACAGAGGCTCCGGTTTATGCATTAATGTTTCAGTACAGTAGCAGTAAAGGTATTGTAATGAGGAATGTGGGGCTTTTTTCAGATATACTAAAAGTTGTTCTTAGTTTTAGAGTTACACAGTGATCAGATTGAGAAAGAATAGGCCCTGCACACAATCAGAGTTTTCTGACTAGAGTGTGTTCATCAAGAGAATGCAGAATAAGCAGGTATTGGCTAATACAAAGTCCTTAATATTTATCCATCAGTTGGTGGACGAGTGAGTCAGGAGTTAAATTACACACGGCAGAAGATTGGAGAAGAGGCCATGTTCAACCCCCAGCTCATGATCCAGACTCCACAGGAAGATGGTGCTAATGTACTAACAACAGAAGCACTCCGACAGCACCTTGAGTCTGCACTTCAGGCCAGCAGAGTACATGTCTATATGTACAACAGGTGAGGGGAAAATCAAAAATTTTCTTGATCATATGTGGTAGCTGAAAATGGATGTGTGCTTTCCTTAATATGTTTTTAAATAGTTGGCACTTCTGAGCCTTTCCCTTGGGGCTGTGTTTTGATTCGAGTGTCACTGGTTTCTGGTAGCTTGTCACTGTGGCATGATAGCTGTGATAAATTGGCATTTAACAAGTAAGATGGGGGAAGTGGTGTTACGTGAGGCATGCCACAGCATGTGACATTTCTTTAGGTAATGGTATAATGTCTGTGATCTTAAATGTAGAACCTTATGGATAGGATTCTAACATTGAAAATCCTTCCATACTAGAGTTGAATTCACTTGCTAATGTCATAATGAGGTACATAATGGCTGTGAACAGTGGCAGAGGCTAGTGTTCTTCCAATAGTTTGGCTATAAAGGGAAATGCAGATGTGGTAGAAATGTCAGCAGGTGGAATAAGAGCTGTTTAATAACACAGACAACACTGTGCCTTAAAGAGTGTCTGTGGCCGCATATTGATGGTTGGCAGTTGTGTGTTGTCCCACAGAAAAATAATACAGGTGCACCTCAGGAAGGTACCAGCACAGGACTAGGATGTCTCCCTGAAAAATGGTTCTGCCAGGGTTACTACTTACACAGTGATGTGCCTAGGAGTCCTGCCTGTGAGGCACAAAGCTCCCTGTCTTTGCGCAGATCTTTTCAGCACACCCAGCTGGTTCCTCTATGAGCTACTGCTAAGGCTCCAATTATCTTTTACGCAGCTCCTGCCCTAAGTCATTAGAAGCCATGGTAGTGGAAGTTGTAATACAACTGAAATAAGAAGGCTGGAATCTTAATGGTTCATTTGCTTCTGCATGTGTTGGTCCACTGACTATATTTGAGTCCTCTGAGCTGGAGGTGGCTTTTCTCTTACTGGTGTCACCAAGTGATACCTTAAGTCACAAGCAGTCTCATATAAATGAGACTGACAAAAATACAAGATGTATTTTTATCCCATGAACACATGTTGACTATTCTGTATGTACAAAAGCACCTCCCTCCTTATTTTGAATGAGTTTTACAGAGAATAGGGAAACAACTGAATAAAGGCGCTTTTTTTTTGGTGAGGTTTAGTATATCTCTTTTTAATAACATTTGCCTTACTCAATGATTTGCTGCTTGAGCCCAGTGTGTGTATATAAGTCACAGTTTTAAATGTCTGTTATATTTTCAAAATTACTTCTCAGTAATTGTGCAAGAAGAAAATATTTGTCCTTCACTTTTCTTACAGACAGTGGAAATTGGAACATTTGTGTTACAAATCAGGAGAACTCATCACAGAAGCAGGTTACATGGACCAGGTATGTGTAGCAGGCATTTAATTACAAGGTTTGTGTATTTTCATGATTCAGCTTGTGCTGCATTGATTATATTCTCGTGTGACTGTGTTTTTCCTCTTTCTGATTTTGACAGATCATAGAATATCTTTATCCTTGCTTAATTATCACTCCTTTGGACTGCTTCTGGGAGGGAGCAAAGCTACAGTCAGGAACTGCCTATCTATTGTAAGCATGTGTTTTTTGTAACTTTCTGGTCTGAATGTTTCAAATTGTATAACTGTGTACAGTGCTTCAGTTTCATTTCCATTGTTTATTCAGATTATGATTTAACAGGAAAATAAAATATGAAGTGTAGTGTATCTGCATAAAAAATACGCATATTTTTTCATTTAACACAAGGTTTACCTCAATTTAAATCCTCTTTTATTTTTCCTGTGCTGCTAGCATGCAAATTAAAATGTAAATTCTGAGTTGGAGTTTTAAGAATTTTATGCTTTACCTTTTTTTTTATCCCTGGAACAAAGTTGTTTCTGGTGGATTTTTTTTTTTCCTCGTAAAATAAAAAAACATTGGTTGGCTGGGAATTTTAGACCTAAGAAAATGTCTTGGGTTAATTTCCAAGCCTTTCTGAAGAGTGAAGAACAAATCCTTTGCTTCAGAGACCAGTAAAGAAACCATATAGTATCTTTTATAGATGGTTTCTCACAGTTTACGAGTGTGATATTAGATGCCCTGAGTTCTTTAAAGAGCTAATTGTTAATCTGTGCAGGCATTTTCTGTTAATTATGCAAGAGTTAGCATTTGAGTTATTGTTTCTGTCCTGGTTTGCATGTCTCTGCAAAAGCAATTTGCAATGGCCATCTCCTAACCTTTAGTATACAGTTTTAGATGGGGAAATAAGGGGGTTTGTGTTTTCTGGTTGGGAGATTCAGAATAATGACTTAAGCCTGGTTAAGCAGATACAGTGTGGTTTGAACCACAGAATAAGGCAGTCAAAAGCCTTTCTGGTCTGTCAACATCACAAATTCAGAAGTGGGGGGTGGGAGACGTGACAGTGATAGTGGTGACAGCCATGGTAGCAGGAAGGCTTGATGGTTGATAGTCAAGCTGCCAGGGCATTTGAAGGAGCACAGTATTGTTACAGATAAACAAAGATCAGTTATATTGATTGATTACATTTGCAAGATGATTATTAGACTAGCAAGAAGTAATCTGATACTATGAGAAAGGCTTTCTTTCCTCAGTCCCCTCTCTTCTGTCCCTTTCCCCTCCCCCCTAATTCTTTGAAGCAGCAGTTGGCTGCTTTTTTGTTATTTAGGTTCTTGATAATTTGTTTTGCTTTGTTTGTAAGTGAAAGTATTTTTAACTAGTTTTACAAGAACCAAGTACTTTTTTTATTCAAATTATAACTGGGCTTTAAGAAAAGTACATAAACAAATCTAATTAAAGCATGCCTTACATTTTACTAAACAGCTTTACCAGAAAAGGTTTTAACTTGTAGCAGAAAATAACTCAGTTATTTGTTCAAACGTGAATTTTAAAGTATGTTTATTTCAGAACTTCTTTTGTCTTTTTTCTATGTGTCTTTCCCTTCTGGTTGCTCTTGCAGAGGGAAGCCTCCTTTGCAGTGGATCAACTTTGACCCTTTAGAATTCTTGGAAGAGTTAAAGAAAATAAACTACCAAGTGGAGAGCTGGGAAGAAATGCTGAATAAAGCAGAGGTTGGTCATGGTTATATGGATCGACCCTGCCTGAATCCTGCTGATCCCGATTGCCCAATCACAGCTCCCAATAAAAATTCCACCAAAGTAAGTTTGCTTGTCCTTGTGCATGTCTTTTCAAGGGAGGCTGGGGGGTGGGGAAGGTTGGGGGGGAAGGTCAAACAGACCAGAAGAAAGTGCCATTTTCTTCCAAGCAGTATATGGCTTGTACTCTAGCATGATGTCATTTTTCTGTTCCTATTACCACTGTTAGCTCACTGTCATGGATTTTGCCTCCTTGTATGATGCAATGCTTAATCCTGTACATTCAGAGTGAAAGTACAGTTGTCAGCTGTTGCTGTGGCACTGCAGGGATGTGGCATTTCGGCAAACTTGTGCGTCAGACAGACAATAGCCGCTGCTGGAACACAGCTGCTGCTGCACCCCCATGCCATGCAGAAAAGCCTTTCCTCAAGTAGCTCCAATTTTGTTGATTTTTTGTGATGACTTCAAAGTCATAAGACTTGAATTTATATATCCCTTTATCAGTCACATTAGACTTTGGAGAAATTGCCATCTGGTCTACAAGCACCTGTGTGTTTTCTTAGCTTGATTTGTTGAATGCCTTTTTCTAGTAGACTACCCAGATGGTCTTTAACATCCATGATTCTAGTTCACTGAGTGCTGAATTAAGGTATGAATTTATAAAGTTATGAAACCTATTAACTGCTTCTTTGTAACTTTTTCTAGCCTCTTGATGTAGCCCTTGTTTTGAGTGGTGGATGCTATGGACTATCAAGAAAATACATGCATTGGCAAGAGGAGCTGATTATAGGTGGTACAGTCAAGAACAGTTCTGGTAAACTTGTCAGGTAAAAAAAATATTTAAAGAAAATGTCAGTTTTAATTGGTTACGGTTCATTTTTTGGGCCACTGTAGGAGGATGATGCAAACTTTATTGCCCTTCACATGTATTATAAATTTCACTTCAGGGTGACATGTCTCAAGAGAGCAGAATTTAAAAGAGTGCTTTGGCTGTTGTTTAAATGTAAAGTGGTGTCATCATTTCCTGCTTCTCCTCTTAGAATGATGGTGTATGTCAGTCAGAAAGAAAGCTTTTTACTGACAGCTTTGTTGTTTAGAATGTATGTATAAAGCATTGAACAGTCTGTAAAGCACTGAACACCTTTGATCACATTTTGAAATATGATCAAAGGAAAAAGGAAGGAAAATAATGCGAGTAATGTACTAACTCCTTTGACTTCTCTCAGAATTCCAAAATATTCACTGAATGTTTTATTCAGGGTCAATACAGAGAATAGTCTATTTTCATGTCCCTGTGTTGTTAATACAACTTTGAGTAGTAACACAAACTCAAACCCTTTGTTTTAGACTTCTGAACGAAGACATAGAACACTGCACTTTAGTGGGGGAATGAAACTGTGTGATTTACTGTTCTGAAAAATTCAGGCCATACTTAACAACATGAAGCGTAATTTTTTCCAGAGAACTTTTAACCTTTTTAGCTTCACATAACACATTGATAATTCTCTCACGAAAGAGCCAAGTAAGGCATTTCCATTGAAAGAGAAAAAGGTTCCTTCTCTTAGTGACTAATGGTTCCTTCTTATTAACCAATAAGAGCTTCTGAAATTGTTGGATGGAGTTGCCTATTGTGGAAATTGAGGGTGGATTGCCTTTGTGTATTCCCCACAGTTTATTAGGCATGAGGAGTTTAATCTACTTCTCTCCAAGGGGTAAAAAGATCAAGGTCTTAAATGACATTTTGCCAGCATTTACAAGACTTCATAGAAATAACTGTTCCTGTGGCATCCTCACAGCAATCTGTCTTATCAAGCATGAACTTAAGAACAGATTTGTAGGGTTATATTCTTTTTTCCTGAAATTAATCCTACTGAAAATAATGTCAAAACTCTTACTAACTTTAGTGAAAACAGAGTTAGCCTCAATAGCAGTACAACTGCACCAGATACACAGTAGAATAATTATACTCTGTTCAATTTTGATATAAGCATGTGCCCTATAAAGTCAAGAACTCAAGCAAGCTCCTGTTAGAATTGCATTGGCACTTTGTGCCATGAAAATGTTTTTCTGAAAATGCTCAGTTTATGCCTATTTCTCCTCTCTCTTCTCTCCATGTCACAGTGCCCAGGCTTTACAAACCATGTTTCAGTTAATGACCCCTAAGCAAATGTATGAACATTTCAAGGGGTATGAATATGTTTCACATATCAACTGGAACGAGGACAAGGCAGCAGCAATTTTGGAAGCCTGGCAGAGGATGTATGTTGAGGTAAAATTGAAAATAACTTACTATACTGTAAAGTCCTACTAAGGTTCACTGCCTGCTTTTTATAGTATTTCCTTAAGGAATATGCTTAAAACAGAACTGAGCCATTACCTCCCTGTTTTTAAGAGTTCTTTTGGTGGTTGGTTGTTTTTTTGGTTTGGTTTTTTTTCTTTTTTTTTTTTTTTTTGGTTTGGGATCTTTTTGGTTTGTTTGTTTGTTTTTGTTTTGTTTTGTTTTTCCAGTAAGAAGCTGCTTGGCTATTTCTGTATGAGAAGCCATGAAGGTTTTACTTTTTGCTGCCTGGGACACTTTTGTTTAGGTGGGGCTGAGCGCTAGCTGGAATTTAAAAGTTTTTGGTTGGCGATTATTCTAAAGGTGTCTGGAAAATATTAGCCACCCATGGGCTGCTCCCTCAACAGCAGCCCAGGTGAGGAGGCTGTGTGTAAAGGCCTGCCCTCTGTGTCCCAAACCCTGCCCTCCACTGCACTCCTCTGACCTCTGCAAATGGCCAGGCAGGGAGGGGCAGAGACATGGCTGGCCTGGGTTAAGTGCAGAACTGGTACTGCGTTGTGGAGTTACAGGAAGGGGCTCAAGTTAAGTATTTGTAATGAGCTGGGCATGCAGTAGGCTTTCCTGAAGGGCTCAAATTCTGTCTCATAATCAGCAGCTTGCCAGAAAAAAATCAGGAAACACCATCAGTGTTTTGTCGCATCAGCGTAATGTCTTTGTAGAGCATGGGCTTTAGCAGGAACATTCAGGCAAAAAAGATTTGATTTCAGATGTGTGCTGTAGAAGATGGTAATGACTTTTTTTGACTAAATGACTAAAATAAAACAAAAAAATTCTTTATTCACACAAAGTTTTATTTTTCTTTTCATAGGTTGTTCATCAGAGTGTTGCACAAAATTCTACTCAGAAGGTGCTTTCCTTTACTACGACCACCCTGGATGACATCTTGAAGTCATTTTCTGATGTCAGTGCTATCCGAGTTGCTAGTGGCTACTTACTAATGGTAATAAAATAAATCTTTTTAATTTTTTTTGGTAGTAGAGCAAGGCTTAAAAATATACTTTATTGTTACCAGTTTGTAGTCCAGAGTATTTTACAAATATTTAAAGTAGAACCTACAGTTTGTAAACTTTACCTTAGGCTTCTCACGTGTTCCACTTTGTAACCTTTGTGACATATCTATTCTGATTAAAAATTGTGTAAGGATCTGTAGGTGGATGGGGAGAGACAGTTGATACATGAGGATCCATTCTAATATTTTGGTTTTTCCCCCCAAATTCCCCTCCCTGCCTCCTCTCCTTAGCTTGCCTATGCCTGTTTGACGATGCTGCGGTGGGACTGTGCCAAGTCTCAGGGTGCTGTGGGGCTGGCAGGAGTCTTGTTGGTTGCACTCTCTGTGGCTGCAGGATTGGGCCTGTGCTCGTTGATCGGAATTTCCTTTAATGCTGCCACAACTCAGGTATTTAGAAGACACAAGTCTGCTGTTAAATTGCAAGTACTCTGTTAAGGAATGAACACAAGTCAATCTTTGAGAAGTAAAGTACTGAAAAAATATTTTGGCTCTAGATTTTTACTGTTTTCCTATTTCATAGTTTATGCTGTGATAAATTAAATTATCATGCTGACAAGTGATACTGAAGAAAAAACAGGTATTATGTAATCTGTATAATTCTTGTTAGGTTTTTCTGTGTCCCAGTACAAGTGGAGGCATCCTAAGTATCTAAGGAGCTGCAGATTTTTTTTTACATCTGAATATACCAGGATGTTCAAATTCTGAAAATATTTGGAATGTAACTTGAATTATTATCAGATATTTGTCTATCCGAAACTTAAATTACTTCTGGTGAGAGTTTGTGTCTGTTTATGGTATATTTTAAATTCCTCAGCTACATTCCAGAATAAAAGTTAATACCTGTATTGCATCATTTCCATTTTCATTTTACCCTTGGATTTGTGTAGAGTGTAATGTAAAAGTTGCTATAATTAGCCATTTAATGGCTAGCTGCATGGCAGATCATAACACATTCTATTTGGGTGTTTTTTTGTTTCTTTCCCAAGGTTTTGCCTTTTCTTGCTCTTGGAGTTGGTGTAGATGATGTTTTCCTTCTGGCACATGCATTTAGTGAAACAGGACAGAATAAGAGAATTCCGTTTGAGGTAATGACAAAATGGAGATTTGCAGGAAAATAAAACAAAAAGTTTCATATAGGAACAGATACTCATATCCAGAATTAATCAGTGGAGTTGTTGGGTTTTTTTAATACTTTTCCTAGGGTCTAGAAATTCTTATTTCTGTCAAAATACGAAATTATAGCAATACATGTGGTCCTAGAACATTTTTGAATGTTCATATTCTTATTTCCTTTTTTTTTTTTAGTGTCTTAGGTTTATTTTCCCTTGAAATTTTAATTTATAAACTGTTACATAAAGACAAACTTCCATAATCCAAATTCTGCCAAAAATTTCAGTGAAAATTAATGCAAATCTAGGAACAAACTCAAATAGGTGTCTTGACAATGAGATGATAAAATGATTGTAATAAAAGAACACATAGAATAGAAGAGATAAGGGGGAAAGAGAGGGAGGACAGTTACCTTTACTTTTTTTTTATGGCCCTAAAATTATTTTCTGTATTTTTCTCTTGTTTTTATTTTCTGAAGTTTGTTATTGACCATGACATTTCAAAGCATAACATATAACTAATAGGAAATCTAAGGCATCATCACTTTTATGATCCTTTACCTTTATTTATATTTTTAGTCTCAGTCCAAATTTTCACATCCCAAGTACATTCCATTTAAAACTAGTGTATATTTGCTAATTTTGTTTTGTATGAGCAGTCTTCCATGTGCTTTCTCCAGCTGGTTTTGTATTCAGGTAGTGCAACCTCACTCTACAATCTCTGTCTGCTTCATAATAGCCTGTTGGGTTAGGAAAGGGTCATGTGTTTATCTTGATTTCTTGGTGGGTTTTGTGTGTGGTCCCTAGACTTGGTCGAGTTCTTTTTGTTTGTTTTGTTACATATTTTTTCAAGATGTGTGGCTATGTTATGCCTCTCTGCTGTTAATAGATGCTTATTTTGTCTGAAAAATGAGAACACTAAGTGATTCTACTGGTAAAAATTAAATCCTTCTCAACAGCAGATGTATTTGATATATTGTCAGCACTCATTTAGTTTTGTGCTCTGAAGCAAGAATCAATTCTAGTCATGTTTTCTGCCCTCAAAAACTTGAGCAGTTCATCTATGTTCCTACCAAACAGTAAACTTGATATGTAGTTTTCTCACATACCCTGAATTTATATTCAGAATTTAATTGTGATAATTTTTCACTGATACTGTGTTACATCTGTAGGATGACCCCATCATTTGCAGGACATCAGCTTATTCGCCTGACTTTTAAGATGCATCCTTTGTTTTGCAGGACAGAACAGGTGAATGTCTGAAGCGAACAGGAGCAAGTGTAGCCCTTACATCTATCAGCAATGTTACTGCTTTCTTTATGGCTGCCTTAATTCCTATTCCAGCTTTAAGAGCATTTTCGCTCCAAGTAAGTTTATAACCTTTATATCCAAGTAAGCTACCCATTGTTAGCTCTGATGCCCTGTGGAAGTGTGATAATGGTACTTGGTGGTGTCACTGAAGCCTGATTTTGGTGCTCCTGTGGTTCACTGAGCCAGAACTTCACTGCAGCAGTACCACAGACCTGGGCAGTAACAACTGCTGTCAGCTCTCCATTCTCCTGCTCCCTTTTCTCATCCACAGAGCCTCTCACATCCTGCTAGCAGGTGAAATAATACTCTGTCCCACCACAGCTGGGTTGAATGCAGAACCCAAGCTGTATGTAACTAAGAAGAAACAAGTTCCCAGAGGGATTTGTGTTCTAAAGTCAAGAGGAGTAGGCTGCAGTGTAGTGTGTACTGTACTGTTTCTCAGCAGCAATTTAATCCTTTCATTCATGTTTGTCCAGTTTGCTGCTCTTCAAAACTACTAGTGCAATTGCAGCAGTACATATGAATTTGTAATTTTAATAATTGCTGTAGCACTTTTTACTGCCTTACTCACAGTAATTTTAGCAAACTTGGAGAAAGCTTAATAATTGTGTTCTGGATGGGTACAAAGAAAACGTGAATTTTATGTGCTGAACCATGCATTGCTTGCTCTGCCTTCCTCTGTCTTCTTGTATTTGTTTGTGATAATGTACCGTCATAAACATGAAATATTTATGATATTGGAGAAGGATTTTTTCTAAAAGTGAAGACTGAAGAAAGATTTGGAAGTTTCTCCCCTGACACTAGCAATTTATAGCACTGTACTATTTCAGTAGTTATTTTTCTTCTTCTCTGGCCTGGTTCTCCATTGATTTTTATTCTCATTGAGCCCTTGGCTACCCAGAGGAAGCAGGGCTGCAGTTTTTCCTAATACATGTGGCAGTTATTGCTGTTCTCAGAGATTTAAGTATGCCTGCATTAAACTGTAAAATGGTGAACTGCTTGTGATTGCAGTTATGTTACTAATAATACAGAATATGAAAAATACAAAAGCTAAAACCTGAAGCATTAATAATTTGTTTACGTTTCCTTCTCAATAGGCAATTTGATAGAGAATAATAGAGAATGTACAGGCCTCATTGGTTTTCTTTATCATTTAGCAGATGCCTGTGGCAACTAAACCTAGATGTTTAGCCTTGAATAGTAAGCAGTGTCTAGCTCTGCTGATTTGCCAAAACCTAGATGTCTCTTCTTACAGATCATATGATCATATGTTTTATTTTATAGAATCACAGAATAGCTTGAGTTGCAACACACCTTTTGAAGGTCATCTAGCCCAACCCTGTCCCCTACACCCTGAGCAGAGACATCTTTAATTAGATTTCTCTGGGCAACTTGTTCCAGTGTTTTCCTACCCAAATTTTTAAAAAACACTTCTTTCTTATATCTAATTGAAATTTACCGTCTTTCAGTTTAAAGTCATTCCTCTTGTTTTGTCCCTACATGCCCTTGTGAAAAGCCCTTCTCCAACCTCCTTGTAGCCCCCCTTTAGGTACTGGGAGGCTTCTGTAAGGTCTCTTCAGAAATTTCTCTTCTTCACGCTGAGTAATCCAAATTCTCTCAGCCTTTTATCACATGAGAGGTGTTCAGTCCCTCAAATCACCTTTGTGACTCTTCTCTGGACTCACTCCAACAGGTCCATGTCCTTCCTGTGCTGTGCTGTGCTCCCATGTCCTGTGCTGGGAGCCCAGAGCTGGATGCAGGTTCCAGGTGGGCTCTCCCCAGAGCAGAGCAGAGCAGAGCAGAGGGGCAGAATCCCCTCCCTCCCCTGCTGCCCACGCTGCTCTGGATGCAGCCCAAGACACGTTTGGCTCTCTGGGCCGGGAGTGCCCATGGCTGGGTCATGTCCAGCCTCTCACCCACCAGCACGCCCAAGCCCTTCTGGGCAGGGCTGCTCTGCATCTGTTCATCCCCAGCCTGACCTGATACCATAATACAAGTGCAGGTGCAGGACTGTTGGAATCCATAAGGTTAGAGGGTTTTTAGGAAATGGTTAAAAAAGTATAGGCCTCAGACTGAAGTTTTGTTAGCGTTGCAAATGCAAGCAGAAAAGTTTCCCATGCAAGCAGAAAAGTTTCCCAAGCAGTAGACATGACAAATAACAATAGATCTCTGTAGAATTGGTTTTAGGATGGCAACAAGGTTATTTAATGTATATCTTTAGAAGGTTAGCATGAATAGAGCTCTGTTCATTGTCTCTTATGAACCAGTCTTTGTTTTAGCTACGATTACGTATACTTTGTGGGATTGGATAGAATGCTTGTCAATATGTGTTTTCTGTGTGTGATTGGCTGAACTCTAGATTGAGATGATTTTATGTATTGCTGTATGAGCCCTCCTGGGAGAGACATTTTTTGGGGTGGATCAGTGAGCTTTCATGTCTCCTTTTTGTATTATGAGACTGATGTGCTGGAAATAAAATCAAAAATCTCTTCACTGGTCTGTTTACAATGTTGTCCATACTGGACATTTTGCCGCGGCCTAGTGGGTTCCTTTTTTAAGACGTGGGTTTCTGACACAATTGGACTTATATCTACCCATCCCCCGACACAGGACCATGCACTTGGCTTTGTTAATCCTCATGACATTTGCATAGTAAAGACTAAACTTTATACATGAAATACTTTTGGTAGTATATCACTTCTTCCACTCGAAGAAGTTATTTATGTCTCTTAAGTCTGTGTCCCAGTTTCAAATATTTGACAGGTACCTTCAGCAGCTAACAGGATCCTGGAGGTCATCAGACTGTAGTACCTGCTCTAAAGAAGTTGCATCAGCCTAAATACATTTCATAAAGAAATATTCAACACAAATCGGCCATTTTGTTGTAATCCCATTGCTGAGTTGTTGAGTGTGATCCACCAATATTAATTCTCTCTTATCTGATCAAATTTTGCTCATTTTTTTACATGTTTTCACTCATCAAAGTCAGAATGTGACAGGTTGTCTTTGGAACATATGTGGAGACAACAGCTGTAGTCTGTAATTGGTAGTATAATCAGCTAACTTACATATACCTGTCCTAAAGTAATTTATTTTTGCCTATTGCCATGCTACAGACTCAGTCACTGAAAGTTTAAAATAAAGTCTGCATAGCAAAATGACAAACAAAAAGCTTCCAGTGAGATTTCAACATGCTGTATTATTGTATGAACATGTTGATATTATTCAGAATAAAAACATCGTCGTCTTTTATAAGGCAGTGATTAATACGGAATTTATGTGTAGGAACCCACATGAGTGTCCAGAAATTAGGGTTTGAATTACCCAAACTTTTCTCACTTGGTAATTTCTCTTTGCTAGAATACAGTAGCCCTGTATATAAGAGGTGAAACGTGCAAAGGAGGAGCAGTGGGCAATTTATATTCATTGATATATGCAGAGCTGCATATATGACTGATACACTTATAAGTTAGCAGCCACTAAAATGAAATCCTTTGTTGTTAGGAAGGAACATCTATTAGTTGCTTTGCCTAGCTTCACAAGGTAAAATCAAAATCAGGTGATGCTTTGATCTCAGTACTTGGAATCAGGGAATCATGGCAATTTTGGTGGGTGGTCTGTATTTTTGTATGGATTTCTTTATTTACAGTCTCCTTCTTCTCTCTCCCTCTTACTCAGACTTGTTTAAACAAGAAGTCCTTGCTGTCTTTGATGGTTTCCTAGCAAGACTTAAAAAGCAATAAAATACTGCTGCATTTACTTTTCACAGATACTTCCACCTTCTCATCTAGATAATGAATTTTTAACAGAGGGGCTTGAAAAAGAAGGATTGCTCTTGACCTTGTTTTGCTCTTCATTCACTTTTCTTAAGACATTACAAGGTAATTGTCAACCTTTGCATGATTTTGAGGCCCAGTATTGGTAAAATAACCTGGCTGTTGAGGGAGAATAAATAATTTCCTGCATCTGTAAGATAAACTAGTTAGAAACTCATGTTTTGCACATCAGTGCCTTCTTCTGTCTTAGCTTCTGTCATATTCTGCCAGATAAAGCAGTTCATTGATACCTCTGAGCTGGTTATTTACTTTATGGAGCTTGAACACTGCAAGTCTGATGGGGTCTTAAGAGTCTGCTAGGGTTAGCTCTTTGCAAAACTTAAAAAGTGGAATTTAGTTCTTTTGAAAGTGAGATCTTTGAAGTTAATTACATGCACAAGTAGGGACTGTTTTAGTTCTTTCCCTGTTCTATTTTTTTTTTAATTTGTTAATCTTATTGGCCCCCTTTTTAAGCAGTTTTAGGGCTTTGAGATCACTGAATATGACCTAAATACTCAGTCATAAGAATCATCTCTAAGAGTGCTCAAGACACTAAAGTAGTAGCTCCTGAATTTCAGACGTGTTTTGTTTCTTAAAATGGTGGTGAAGGAAGAGGTTATTGGAGAAATCCACTGAAAGTTTTGAAGCTTGCAATAGGAATGTCTTAAGAACAGCCTTTTGTTTTGAGTATAAGTGAAGGAAGTCATGGTGGAGTCTAACTACCTCTGGGCTGTATTATTTCCTAAGACAGATTATTCAGAGACTGTCACACAGTAAACTCTGCCCAGGAAAGATAAGGTAAAAAAATTTATCAACCTCTTCTGTCTTACATCAGAAACTGCTTTCCCCAACAGCAGAGGAGTGGTGTGGATCCACTAATAAGCAGAGGTGGAACTTTTCCCAAGGAGTGTTAGAAATAACTTTTTCCCTCACCACAAGAATGACAAGTTTTTTTCCTAAATGCAGAAGTCCATTACCAGGTGGCAGTGGTGGGTTTCTGGAGGGAAAGAAAATATGCTTTTAAGCTCTTTCCATTATCTTACTCTGCTGAAGTGGTTCATCCCCCACCTTTATCCACACCATTTACCTTTCCCTGCCCCTGACATGAGAATTTAACAAGCAGAATTAAAGCCTAAGGGAAAAGGGGGCAGGGGACGAGGATCTGAGCCTGTACCATATCAGGAGGGAGTTGCAGATAGAGAGCAGTAGGGTGGAAGTTTTCCTGACAGACCTCCTCATCTGTTCATCACCTCTGGCTATACAGCACACCCGGTCTCCTTGGGTGGGCTGCCAGGAATGGCACATAGCAGCACATACTTCAGCGGGGCCCCAGCACATACCTACCAGCTTGGCTCCCTGCTCCCTTGCTGCCTCCAGCACAGACTGCCATTCTTCTGTCTCCGTTAACAGTTGCAGCAGCAATAATATTTTTAAGCTGTGCATTATGAAAAGATACAAAATCTGTAGCATGTTTCTCAGGAAGTGACCAACATAATTTTTGCATGATTAATGGAATTTTTTTACTGCTCTCTGATCTCATTTCACTGAATGCCTTCATTTTACACCCTTGAGTAGGTCCCATTTTATTCTTCCTAGGCTAATCTTACTTTCACTGATTTCCCAAGGAAAAGGTCTGAGGCCTTTTTCTATCACATTTGGTCTCCAAAGGTGCGAGAGAAGATGCCCTGTTCTTAGAAATCCTAAGCATGCTTTCAGCCTGGGCGCTGTCTGTACTTAGGAAGCTCAGCTGCCACAGTTCCTTGTTGTCTTTACAGATTGTGGCTGCTGTCAGGACCTCAGTGCTTGTACTTCCCTATTCTGCAGCACTGTGTGTATGAATGGCATTGGGAGGGCAGCAGTGGTAGATGCATCAGGGCAGGGACTGAATCACTCTTCAGTAATTCATCCTTTCCTCTCCTTATCAAGTCAGAGGGTGGGGTTTCTTTGATGGGACAATGTATTAGAATTTGTACAAGAACTCAGTTGTGAAAGCTGAGAACAGCTAATCCTTGTAACACTGAGTTAAGGTGGGTGAGATCGAGCGTGCAATATATAGGTAGTGCAACATTAAGCACTAGGAATCTATTAAAATTAAAATCAGAACAGAGATTGTTTTGAAATATCTTACTTGCAGGGCAGTTAGTACATCAGCACTAGGATGGCACAGTGGAAAATCTAGTTGTTCTAAAAAGAGATGTAAGTAGTCAGATTTACTGTGTGTTGTTGGATTAGTTTTGATGCTTCCTAAAAAAAATCAAATGTCAATATACCTATCCTTAATGGCATCTCTACCACACAGTTAAGTATTACTTTTCAGATTCAATAATATTGGTGATTCAAGGATGTTGAGGTCTAGAAAGGGAACTGATATGGCATGAAGTATTTGCAGTTTATAGAGCAGAAACAGAGGACTTCTGTTAGTTTTTCAGCCATGCTGAGAGGAGTAAGAATTATTGACTCAGACCTCAGCTATTTTTTCCAAATCTCAGTAAATCTTAGCTGATCCTTGATACAAGATCTTAGTTAGGCACAACTAATTATTCATTTTATATGGGTGATTCAACCTCTTTTTGGTTTAGCACCAGCAAAGAAAGCAATTGTAAGAACGAGGTCCAACAAACACCTTTCTTTCAACAGCAGCCATTTGTTTTTCTGACAGATTGAATTAATTCTAGAACAGATCAAAAGCAAGTCACTTAAAGTCTTTAGTGATTTTAAAGTTTTAAAGTCTTGGCTATGACCTTGCATACCTTTCTGTGTGAATATTTATAAATCATTAAATAATCATTGGCTCTTTTCTTGCAAAGATGACTAAATACTAATTTGGCTTCAAGTACCAGGTAAATTTTGTTTTAGTAGCCATGTCTGCAGACAACCAGCAGTACTAAAATCTTAGTTCAAGCAGGCTGGAGGTCAGGAAAAAGAAACAGCAATAAAACCAGCTTTTGTACGCACTATATTTATGATTGAAATTACTAGAAAATATTTACATAACTAGTCAATTCTGTCATTTTAAGAACAGTAAAAACAATATCTAAGCTTTTTATTATATTCTGACTATTTCAAAACTGTAAAAATCATTCAAAGTGTTATTACTTTGATTTTTGCAGATAAATTTGTTTGTACTGCCAGTTTTGAGGTCTGATCCCTCAAGATCAAAAGAAACCATATATTTCTTTTGGGAAAAAGGACATCACATTTATATTGGGTCATTTTTGTAGCCCAGCTTTTGCTGCTCTTTAAGAATGTATTAACCCAAGTAGCCATTATTTCAGAAGTCACAGGTGGAGGAACTTGACAGTTTATATATAGATAGCTGGTCTATCTATATATATGAAACTGGGCTAGCATTGCGATTGCTGCTTACCAAATAGGTAAAACATAAGGCTTTCAAAGGGTTTTTTCTTTTCATTGGTTGGTGGCTGAAATTTTTTTTTCCCAGTGTTTCTCCTACTCTTACAACCCTCTTCCAGTTCCCAGTGCCCAGCTTTCCCTTTGTGATGGGTAGGGCTCCTAACAATTCTGCATTACAAATAAATGCTATCAATAATAATGATAGATGCTGCGCCACATATGTTTATGGAAATTCTCTGGGAATCTCTGTGTGGGAAAGGGTTTGGAGTATGGTTTGAAAGGGGGTGGGCGGGGAGGTTGTTTTTTTCATTATGTGATACTTGCTTTACAAATTAAATCAAGTATTCTTGTTCCAATTTAAGACTCATTTTGGTAGACTGGCTTATAAATCAAGCTCTGTTAAACACAGACATATTAATACATATATTTGCTGTGTGGTGTTGATTTAGTTTTGATTATACTTAAAAACTAATCCCTGATAAACTCAAAATATTGCTCTTTCTTGGCTAAACTTTTAAGTAAGACTATCAAGTGCACAGTATTTCACTAAGGTGATAGTTTTTTAAAATTTACTGAGATCTAATTCTCTGATTTAATAACATGCTTTAATATTATTGTGATACTTAAATTGCTTCAGATCCCATAAATGTAAGACCTTCAGTTCTAGTTTCAGGTTATCTTCCATTTTATTTTGCTTTGAGACTCTAAATATGTCAGAGTTTTATGTAAAAATATGATTATTGAGTCAACAGGCTGTTTTTCCCCTTTAAAAATAATCACCACATATCCAGGCACAGGTGTGTTATAATAATACGAGGTTGAGTATTAAATTAATTCATCACAATTGTCCTTCCATAATGAAATGGGAAAATATAATCTCTCAGTTTGCTCAGGCAAAAGCTTGAAAGCATCAGATGGATTGCAATGGTAAATAGGGATGAGAATTGAAAGGGATTTTTATGCTTTGTAAAGCTGATGCCCTAGATGAAGTTTAGCAGCGTTACTTATCCTGTGATTGTCTCTAGGCAGCTGTTGTGGTGGTGTTCAATTTTGCTATGGTTCTGCTGATTTTTCCTGCTATCCTGAGCATGGACCTTTACCGTCGGGAGGACAGGAGACTGGACATATTTTGCTGTTTTACAAGGTGAGAGTTAGCAGCAGCTTTGTCCTCTCTGTGGTCACCAATCAGTGCATCCATTTCTTGTCAAGTGTGGGAGTTCTTCACTAAAGTGGGATCAGCATGTTTTTGTTACCATTTCATTGCTAGTGACTGGCTTACATTTGCTACCTTGTTTTTTACCTGCCTGAAGGGAAAAGCTGAAGTACATCTGTCTCCCTCTCTTCCCCCATACCCCCTTTCCCCCACACTTTGCCCTTCATTTCTATATATGTTCATTTTGACTGTTGGAGAACAACTTTCTGAAAGCAGATGAAAGACCCTCTATTTAGGAATATCTTGAAGTATTTTAGAAGGTTTTGACTTACCGCAAGGTGTCCGGTGCCAGTACTAGCTAATCTTGGAAAGGTGTACATAACTCAGGATACTGAGAAGCCTGACTTACAGTAAATCATGATATGTTAAATTTTATGCATTTATGCCTTTAAACTTAAATAAATAAACTGTGAAATTACTTCCCCTTAGGGGAGTTTTTCATAGCACTATAAGGAATATTCACTACCATTACAGGATAATGCTTGATAGAGTGTCCTTTGTGGCTGCAGTAGTAATACAGAATGGTAATACTGCCATTCTAAAGCACGTACAAACATACTCTCACCTGATACACAGCCAACTCTGAGCCTATAATGGGGGTTAGGAGTCTGCTGTCGTCGCTGGAGCCACTGCTTGGAAACCAAACATCTTTTCTACCTTAGTTTTTGCTTTTGACTGCAATGAAGAGGATGAGCTACACTTCTACACATGTACTCATACTGTCATAACCAAGGTGTAGAGAATCTTCATTGGGACATTTTAACCCTTTACATGCATCCAGGACCCAATAGTTTAATGTCAGAGGAAGAAAACATTTTACTAAATTTGTCTCTGAGATAATGGTTAAAACAGAGAGTGGATCCCAAGCTATTTCTTATTCAGTCATAGTTCCAGAGAACAGCTGAATGTATTAGGGTATTGGAGCCCTGATTCTCAGGAATTCAGGACACTCCAAAGCTGCACCAAATGTGGATCAGAATTCAGCACCTTTGCATCTGAAGAAATGCAGTTAGTGAGAGCTTGCTTTGATTAGGTAGGCAACATTCTGAATTCCTCTAATTTTTGTAGGATTTGTGCACTTGATGAAAAATATTTGATACTGTTTAGTATTGTCCATTTGTCATTTCTCATGTACAGGAATAGGCTTGTCTCTGATAATTATATTTTTTTAATATAAACTAGGTAACTGCTAGGGTCTTGCATAGACTAAAATAAAGGGAATACTTCAATTACTTCTGTGGTTTTGTCTCTTCATATGGCCATCCTTCCTAGAAATTAATCCTTTCATTAATACTTTAACGTTTTCCTGATTTATAAAATATTCATTCAGTATATGGCAAATCATTTCAACCTGCCTCCCAAAAGTCTGAGATCTTATCCAGAATGCTCAAATATCATTTAACAGTTACTTCATTTCTTCTAAACACAAGAACTAGCTATGTCATGCATTTCCCTCTTCATCTAAATATCTTAATTCTCAGTGTGGGTACAGAGATGCAGACTCACAGACTTAGTGTGCATTCAGACTGTACAACTACCTGATGAGCATGTGTAATTATTGGAGTGATATGTATACATGTCAATGTCTTCAGACAGATGCTGTTTCCTTCTTCCTGAAGGACAAGAAATTAGCACGTATTCTCAGGAGCTTACACTATGAACCATAGCTAAGAGATGTTTCCTAAATGCACAGAATACAATTAATATCTAAGTGGTTGGTACACGTAATTAGTGTAAACTGTCCGGTAGAAGTAGAAAAGAATCTCAGATGAAAGCATGTTATCCTATCTAGCCCGATTAAAATAAGGATCTGTCTCAATGCGATCAGATGGCTTTTTCTTCTCTTACAGCCCGTGTGTCACTAGAGTGATTCAGGTTGAGCCTCAAGCGTATGCAGAAAATGACAATACCTGCTACAGTCCTCCACCCCCGTACAGCAGCCACAGTTTTGCACATGAAACCCAGATTACAATGCAGTCCACAGTGCAGCTGCGCACAGAATATGATCCTCACACGCAGGTGTACTACACCACAGCAGAGCCCCGCTCAGAAATATCTGTGCAGCCAGTGACAGTGACACAAGATAACCTGAGCTGCCAGAGCCCAGAAAGCACAAGCTCGACGAGGGATTTGCTTTCCCAATTCTCAGACTCCAGTATACATTGCCTTGAGCAACCCTGTACAAAGTGGACACTCTCATCTTTTGCAGAAAAGCATTATGCTCCATTCCTCCTAAAACCAAAAGCTAAGGTAATCGGGGGAACTATTTACCTGGGTTTCAAAATTAGATTTCTGCCTTGCCCGGTTTTAAAAAAATATCCTAGCAATGGTTTTAAATATAAGGAATAAATACAGCTCTTGTGAAATAACAGTTTTTAATAATTTACAGCTGGTTTCTTATTTTATAAGTTTTATCTTGCAAGTGCTATGGACACATATTTAAAATATACATTAGAAGTGAAGGTGCTGCTGACTTTGAGTAACATAAGCTTGTGAACAGTGAAATTAATGTCACTTTCAAACTGTACTACAATAGAAATTTCTCATCCATGATGCAGAGCCCCTTCAAGGAAGAACAAATGACTTTAGTCTTGTAGTATGTACATGCATGAAAAAACACCAGAAAAATAAAAGCTTGAAAGTACTGATGGATGTTAATTTTGAATTTGGCTCTGTAATATGACATTATGAATTATTAGTTCCTTTGGAAGCCTAAAACCAAATACATCTCTGTTCTCTGTTGCAGATTGTGGTTATTTTTCTTTTTCTGGGTTTACTTGGGCTCAGCCTTTATGGAACTACCCGGGTAAGAGATGGACTAGATCTCACAGACATTGTACCACGGGAAACACGGGAATACGACTTTATTGCTGCACAGTTCAAGTACTTTTCATTCTACAACATGTATATTGTGACACAGAAAGCAGACTATCCAAATGTCCAGCAGTTACTTTATGAACTTCACAGAAGTTTCAGCAACGTGGCATATGTTTTGTTGGAAGAGGATAGGCAGCTCCCCAAAATGTGGTTGCACTACTTTCGAGACTGGCTGCAAGGTAAGAGAGCGTTACAGAAACTTTTCCTAGTTTGTTTTGCTCAGAAAGAGCAGTTGTTCATAGTGGTATTGCTGTAATTCAGTCACACAGTTAAAGGCTCTGAGCAGTAGGGAGAATGCCTAGGTGCTGCTTTGAACCCATGTGTGGGCCCACTCTTTGTCAGTTATTTTCTTTGTGTTTAAGTTTACTCCCTACTAAGACAGTTATGAAGCTTTAAGGGATTATATCCATGCCAGTCATGTGTAAGCAATTGATGAGGCGTTATGCATTATGGCCGAATATGGCCCTGTGTCTTGGGTAAATAAATATTTGGTGAGTGTTTTCAGATCAGTGAATGAAAAATCCCTATCTGGTGATGTATTCTGACACAGACTTAACTTTCAGCTCTTGAGTGATCTTGTTGGCTACTGCTGGCATGAAGAAAACTCAGTGTGGCTTGTGTGTTTTATTGGGCTAGGAACTTACTGCATAGTCCAGGTTTCTAATCAGCTACACTCACCCTTTCTGTGGTGCTGCTTTTCTGTGCTGAAGTGTAACAGGGTGGGAAAAAACAAGAGAAGGCATGGCCTTTCAGGTACTATGATAATAATTATATTGAAACCAAGTAATTGAATATTGAAGATACTTTAACAGCCAACATACCCTGCCCAGGATTGCTTTGATCCTATCTATATCTTTTTATTGGGAGAATTTGTAGGAAGTGTTTGCAAAAAAAAAAAAATTGTGCCGACCTGGTGAGACTGTAAATTTCTGTGAATTTTAAAATTAATTGTGTACAGATGACCACTGCAGCCTGTGATTCTTAGAGAACATATAAGTAACTGTCAGTATCTGATGTATTTTATTCCCTCTGAAAATATGTTGAACAATATTAGGAAAGCAGACGCATGTAAGTGACAAATCTACACAAAATGAGGTTTCCCATGTGTTAATACATTCCTAAATAATGCAAAGCAGTATTTCAGCTATTAACTTTGGGGGTTTTTAATGTTTTTTAAATACATTGGATCCATTCATTGCAGTCTACTTACTGGAAGCTTTATTTAAAATATTTTTCTCGCATAAGCATATTGAGCTGTAAAGGATGGCATTACTGGCAGGAAGAAAATTCAGCGTAGCTAGATGTTTGCTGGATTGGAACCTTACTATACTTGCTAGAATTCTAAGCAGTCCTTCTACATGCTTTTTCAAATTCTCTTAAAGCTTTCCTGTTTACTTTGTTTCTTTTGTGGTTATTTTTGCTGCTGTTCCAAAACAGTAGGAAAAAGTGTATCTGGTGTCCTGATTTTCTCTTTTTCCCCCTCCCCCATGAGGGAGATGGAAATCTGAGATTGTGTTCAGGAAGCTTTATTAGTGCTCAACCTCAGCACAGTCTGCCAACGATAAAATCAGAAGGAGGTGCCCTTGGATCTGCTCCCTTGCAGGCTGCTCAAAGTGAAATGCTGGAGGCTGGCCCACTTGGTGCTACTCCCAGGAGTACTCTCGTTCCCAGTGCCCCTCTGTCAGGCGCACCACATACTTTCCCAAACCTCTTTCACTTTGGGTGCCTCCCTGTTCTCTTTGCAATCCTTTGTGTCCCTCTTGCACTACGGATTGTTTGTGTGGCCAAGGGCCTGCATGTCCCCTCACACTGTATGTCCGTGCTCATGTGTGTTCTTTGCAGACATGCTCTTCTCATAGCGGTGTTCCTACTCTGTACTTAGCTCAGCACATAGTTACTTGTCCCCTCCAGTCCACATTAGCCAGCCTATCCTTATTTGTCCTCTGCTTTTCTTCCACTAGAGCAGCTGTGTGTATTCCTGGTACCCGGGGCATACTGAGGAGCTGCATGGAGATAAAATGTTACAGTAGAGTATTCAGGGTGACTCCAGGGAGCTGTAGTGACTTGCTGTGGTCCATGTGACATGCCAGTCTTGTGACAGGCCATGGATCAGTCTTTTGATCACACACAGCTTTAGAATTTAGCGTTTAGGTCTGTATCCTTACCTGTCCTCCCTACCTTTTCTGAGGAGGTCACAATTAATGCAACCCTGCTGCTTTGTAAAGTTGCAGGCGCAGGGTGTGATACTTCATTCACAGGGCTGTAAAGGAGGATGTTGAGATGTATCAATAGAAAGAGATAATATTTTCAAGTGGTACAGGGAATTGATGTTACAGGGGGGAGCTAGACTGTTGGACTAAAAGCTGCCATGTTTGTCATAGTTGGGGAATTATTGAAAGGTGCAGACTAACAGGCAGAATAACACCTGATAACACCTGATTGTTACCAGCTGTGGCTGATGCCAAAAGAGTCAAGGGAAGATGAAGAGAGAATTTGCAAACAACGTATAGGTTTAGGCTGGATTCTGTGAGGGAGAGCAGTTCTACTGGCATAGTTTTATGTGTTGTAAGGGCTGGATAATCGAAGCAGGAACGGCTTTGACCTGCATGGCTAATTCCTGCTGACTTGACTGTGAATCCAGTGCCAGAGGTTAATGGCTCAAGATGGCCTTCTGACATGCACACATTTGTCCAGCAGAATGAAGGATGCAACAACATGTGAACAACCATTTTTCACCAACAAGGCACCCTTGGTTTAGCTGTGCATTCTTCCTCATCTAGTAGCAGTGGAGTGTGCCTTCTGCCTCATGCACTTCTCTTTTCAGAGATCCCTCTTATTTTGCTTTCTAGTATTATGTTACTGTATTTTTTGTTACTGAAAATGAAATAGAAGAAAAGTTCACACTAATCATTCATTTAAGCTGTAAATGTTAACATTGCTTTTGTTAGTGACCAAATGTAAATGAGGTAGCTTGGATTCCCTGATGGCTTCTAATTAGGCTTGTTTTTGCAAAGGGAAATCTTATCTGGTGTTTCAAGGTGGCAGCTGCTCACATGAGCCAGTAGGAACTCCTTCCTCACCCACACTGTCACCTAATTTTCTATATTGTCACTTTCTTCTGAAGCACTAAGCAAAAGTGACTGCTTATGTGAAAAAATCCCACATATAAAGTTTTAAAAATTCCTTTAATTTCTATAACTTTTCTGCAGAAAGATGTGAGCAAGATACTTTCATCTTTCTGCCCAAAAATGTATAGTTTATCCCATTTATGATAGATTAAATATCTACTAAAATAATTGTTATGAACATGTTTGCTTTGAAGGCAGCAAAGTCTACTACAAATTTCAAAGTGAAATGGCAAATTTTACTTCTTGCAAGTTTGAAATTCTTCAGAAATTAAGTATGATTGCCAATGGTTTCTTAAGATTCTTTCTGTAGACTTTCAGTTTCAGCAAGGTAAGTTATAAAATTATCTGAAACATAGTGTTTAAGCTAGCTGAAGAGTAAAAGTGCAAAAGGGAGCAGGGTTTGAAGGATAGCCAAACTTTTGAGAACAGGGGAGCAGGGGGGATGTGGTGGAGACGTAAGAGAGTTTTCACCCACTGCAGTAATGTTTCCAAGTACATGCCCTTTTTTGCAACCTCAAACTGGTATGTCAGATGCCAATGAGTTTATTTATTATTGTGTCTGTGGAACCTCTGACAGGGGTAGGATGTTTATGTGAAAGCTCTGCCCTGAGATGTTGTGCATCATAGCAGTTTGTGTGCTCCTTCTGTGGAAGGGAGACACTTCTAATGGAAGTTACACTGTTCTTAGGTCATCTCCTTCTTTTCCATGTGCTTTTTTGACTGCATCCTCTTCACTTTCCAAAGTCATTGTGTTTCTTTTCACTGATATAATAGCCCAAATACTCTCACCTGGCCACTTTGTTAGAAACTGATATGGAACTGGTCATGGGACAGAAGGGCTGGATTGGTATTTTTGTATACTCTTACCAATGTTTCCCCTGTCTGCAGTGCCAGAAAACAGTGCTTTTTTGAAAGGGAACCTCAAAGTCCTTTGGTGATGTCAGCAAACCTGATGGCAAATTGTCATCCTCCCAGAACAGTGCTAGAGGACTGCATGCAGAGATCTGGCAGGCTTCTTTCATAATTTGGTTCTCAGCCTGTTGGCTTCACGTGATTTGACATGGTTTAGTGAGACAGCATGGGAGGCAGTTTTCTAAGGAAGAGAGGATGAGTTTGTCAATGGGAATGGGTACTGTGTCCTCAAGACAGTGTCAGCTGGGTGCATTTTCTTTTCCAGTGCTCTTATCTCAGTACAGCTGTAGCTAACCTATCCAGCCTGCAGCGATGGTTTTCATTACAGCTCCTCAGCCCAGCTGTGAGGTGGGTCGATGATTCCCTCCACCGCCACTCCCCCGGCCTTTTTCTTCCCTTCCCTGGACATGCGGTTTGTCATCTGCTTGCACAGAGCCTCCTTGTACTGGGATGTGGCTTCCTGTGCTAAATCTGATCCAAATTTCTGCTGTGAGGTATTCCCTCCCCCTTGAAGGGTGGCAAGGAGGAAAATAACAGTTGAGAGTGAATAGGTGTTGGCTGTGATCTTTACATATGCTGGCAGCAGATCCCATGACTTGTATTAGTTGCACAAGTTGAACAGATGGAACAAATTGACAAAATCGTGTTCACTCACGCTGTGCTTGAGGAGCAGCTGAGTTGCTGTTTGAAGTTGAAAGTTTGAGTGTGTTTTTCTCCCTGCTTGTAGTGGAATTTCTGGTTATAGTGTAGAAGCTATTGCCCCAGTGCTCTGCAGTAGCTCAAAACAGTAACGAGAGTGGTGTGTGTCCTCCTCTGTGGTTCCGTGCACTCAGCCAGGGCTTTGGTGAGGCAGGCGAGTAAGGAGAAGGTTTCCCTTCTAGGTAACAGACTTATGCCTCTGGTTGTAAGATGGTGAAGCCGGATGAGGGCTGAGCTCAACCCATCTCTGTTCTAGACAAGATTAACATTTTCCCATACACTTCTCCAAGTGGAAGGCTTGGAGAAGATATTCAATTTCCCTTAAGGGGAAGACATTTTTGCCAGTTCACAAGGCATTTTCAGCTTACTACCATAACTTTGCTGGTCTGCACAACCTGGAGACTCCTGGGGCTTCTCTCTTGCATTTTCTTGCTTCCCCTGCCTTTCTTTGGGCAAAATATTGGACATGCAACTGACACTTCCCACACACTGAGAGTGTGGAGCCCCAAATTTAGGAGGCACCAGGTCAATAATTTTCATCCTGATTCGGTTATGAAAAAGCATCATTATTCTTTCTCCTTTTGAAACTTGTTTATAATAGTGATTATTCACCTGCTTATTCTGTCTTCCCCTTGTCTCTCCTAACTCCTCAGGACTTCAGGATGCATTTGACAGTGACTGGGAAACCGGGAAGATCACTTACAACAGCTACAAAAATGGTTCTGACGATGCTGTTTTGGCTTACAAACTCTTGGTACAAACAGGCAACCATGCAAAGCCTATTGACATCAGCCAGGTAGTGTATCAGAGTTCATGCTGGTTTACACAACAATACGCAAGTCTTCAGGAGCAGAGGGAGGTGCAAAGTCTACAGAGGTTGTAGTATCTTTTTTCCATCTCAAGGAGCTGAATGTCTGAATTGTGCCTTTCTTTTATGGTCTTGCTGATGTTGCTGAAGCCACTCCTCAGATGCAGTATGGCCTATGTTGTAAAGTGTTCAAATCCACATGGCAAATACCAGTCCTAGATTGTTACTGGTGTGCATTTTGTGCCCCCGTGCCAGACATGTTCAGTTTCCATGGAAATTGTTGTGAAAATAACTCTGCATCCGTAGGTGTATGGAGTTTAGTCCTATGTCGGACACTTGCAATTATTTGTTTTGTTCCTACTGATTTGTTCAAAGAAGAGCATTTTTAAAAATGTATTGATGAATTATAGAGGAGGGAGACTGAAATGATTACATGCAGTATCATATTCTTGTACCAACATCACTAAATACATCTAAAGTGCTGTAGAACTACCAATGGCAGTTGTTAAAGCTGACTAAATAAAATATGCCTGAGGTTACCACAGCATATGACTGCATTTGCTGTAGCCATTTGTAAGTGGAAATACATTAGGAATGACTCCTTACACTAAAATTAGATTTCAAATGCTGAAGAAGAAATTCTTCAATAACATACCCTCTCTTCTCTGAGAGTCATCATCAACTCACTGTGCTTTCAGGCAGAAAAAAAGTGTTTTTAAAGAGCTTCTTGGCAGTTCTGCTTACTGTCTTTCTTTTTTCTTCCTGGCATTAAAGGTGACAGATTTACAGAGTACATTGTTCAAAGTTACTACAGTGTGTGAAACACACTGCCGTATAGCAACATGCAACATGCTGTCAGGTCTGAATGAAGCTTCAGCAATGAATTAGGCAAAGAAAGGGAGTAGAGGAGAAAACCTTCAGTGAGATTTTGTTTAGCAGAGTGTACCAGGTACGCTGTGGAACAAATGCAATTGGACTGCAGCTGCTGATATAATTTCCTGTGCCTGGGAGGGAGAAAAGTGTGGTGCACCCACAGGGGTTGAGCGCTGTACTGTGCAGTTCCAGAGACAGCTTGAAGACATACAGTTGTTGCATATCCTGTGGACTAATTGAATCCAGATCCTTGGAATCCAACTTTTTTTTTTTTTTAACTGCTGTCACTGTTGTTTTTCATTTCATTAAAAAGACCTGGAACTGGAGCTCAGCCAGAATTTTAAATAAACAAAACAAAAAGCCCCAGTAATACTTTTCACCCATGGAGTCCTCTGCAAGAGCTCTGGCTGTGCAGGATTTGGCTAACAGAACCCTGGAAGTGTACCACTGCTGTTTACTCCACAGATGCTTTGCCCACAGTGACCCAAATAATACGGGGCAGTCGTCTGCTTTTTTGACGCTGGGCATTTTCTGAATACATAGGTCATAGGAGGCAAGTGTTAGCAAAATTTATACAGATGTTGTTTTATTTTTATAGCTCTCCTCCATTTACTGGGTGGCATTTCCTTCAGTGTTAACAACAGAGGTTAACTGCACACAGACATGTATAGGGACTCTTGCCAGGTTTTCTTTCCCTGTCTTTAAATATGTTTCTCCAACTTGGTTGTTTTTCATTCTTGGCTGCAGTCTTTCAGAATTTGGATTTAATTGGTTCAGTGTATTCTGGAACCATCTGTTGATTTACTGGTTATTGTAAATATTATATGAGCACTAATTTATAAATAACCACTGTCACTGCATTTTCTTAGATTTTGTTTTTGTTGTCCAGCAATAGTTTACTGATAAGTCCCTTCAAGTGGAGATTCATCTTCTCTTGCTTTTGCCCTTCTATACGTGTGTTGCATCTCCAGGCCATTTGTTGAAAGCATTATAGCAAGACTGCTGAAAGCAAAACTTACTCTGAAAGGCTTCTAATTTTTTCCCCATTTTGCAGTTGACTAAACAGCGTCTGGTGGATGCAGATGGAATCATTAACCCAAATGCTTTCTACATCTACCTGACAGCCTGGGTTAGCAATGACCCTGTGGCCTACGCTGCCTCGCAGGCCAACATCCGCCCACACCGCCCAGAGTGGGTGCACGACAAAGCAGACTACATGCCAGAAACACGGCTGAGGAGTAAGTAGTAGTGTTTCATCTTAACTTCCTACAGTTTACATGAGTGCCCCCACTCCTTCCTTCCAGCACCAGTAACCCCCGATGCTGCACAGGGCTCTGAAGCATTAGCAGGAGAAGACATTGTGTTACACTGTAGTTATAGGAGATCCAAGCACCGCTGAGACTGTGACACCATTGCAAGGTTTTATCATGTTGAATAATGGGTTATAGAACAGTTTAAAGCTCTAAAAGTGTATAGTAAGCATTGCTTTTTAAAGTGTTACTTGATAGTTCTGTCTGTGTGAGAAACCTGGGCATTTAATGAAATTCCTGCCTCAGTTATTCTGAAATTTCATTACTGAAATTCTATCATGGCTGTTCTCAATTCCTAATATCTCAGAAATTTTTACCAAGGTAACTTATACACTAAGCTACTGCACTGATATCATACAAGAGCTAGAGGGACGAGGGGAGAAGTTCCACTTCACACCATTCACTGTTTTCTGGCACCAATACCAAAAGCTGGCTTTGATTCAGCTTTCAATTGAGGATTGCTAGTTGGACACCAGTAGGGAAGGAGAGAGGGCATACAGGGGACAACTGGTGCACTTGGAAATGTGGTTGGATAACCATGCTTGAGTGTATCCAAACCCTGGAGCTTTGTGGCAGTCAGCCAAGTTTTGTCTTAATGAAAATTTATAGTTGAGATTATAATAGGGCAAATCATGTTAAGCAAGTCAACTGAATGAAGGTGCAGGGTTGGAACACACAGTAGCAGTAACCAAAATCTTGTTGAAAAAGCCTTTTCTTTTCTAGTCATAGAGTAGACCTCGCATTACACTCAAAAAGAAGTATGGAGAGTGTTGGTTTGTCAAATTATTAAGGGATAAAAAGTTTTGGAAGTAAGTCAGTAAGCCATTACTTCTATGTTATGGGGAATTTTCCTCCACTAATTTCCATCTGAATGTGGATTTCTGCATCTGAATTTCCAAATATTCAATGGAAATCTTTAAAAACCAACCAACCTGCTCAAGCCTAATTTTTCTCTAGTTTTGTGTCAGTGGATCTCAGTTAATCTTAGGGAAATGATCTTTGAATTTGAAGAAACTGCATAAAAGAGGAGCATTTGGGTAAAATTTTTAATTATGTGATTGTCCACTCATGTCGCGGTCAGGGATTTTTGACTCGGTATTCAGTAAAAAGCACTATAACACTGATTAGGATTAAATACATGGATTGAAAGATAACTGTTAAATTATATGTAACTGTTCGGGGACTTGGTGGAGCCTGTGTTCATCCCGTTACGCTGCATGATAAAATACAGTAATCTCATGTACTGTTTCCAGTTTCTCTTTATTGGTGAGTTTTAAAACTATAATTAATTCCAAACAAGTAAATTCAAATTCACCATCTTTTATGCATTTTGCTGTGAAGAATAAAATATTTTGCTAACCTGTATATCATGTTCTTCCCAAAAGTGCATTTTAACACTGCTGTAATTTTCCTAGTTCCAGCAGCCGAGCCCATAGAATATGCTCAGTTTCCTTTCTACCTCAATGGATTGCGTGAAACTTCTGACTTTGTGGAGGCTATTGAGAAAGTGAGAGCTATCTGTAACAACTACACCAGCTTGGGGATCTCCAGCTACCCTAATGGTTACCCATTTCTCTTCTGGGAGCAGTACATTGGACTTCGTCACTGGCTCCTCTTATCCATTAGTGTGGTTTTGGCTTGCACGTTTCTGGTGTGTGCCCTCTTCCTCCTAAACCCCTGGACAGCTGGGATCATTGTAAGTTTATTATAAGGGTCTTTGTTGAAGTCAAATTCCTTTCAGCATAGCTCTTGCTGTAGTCGGGAAGGTTTTGTTTATGTCTGGGCCTCTGGTGGAGTATGTATATTGCATCATTCATTATATATTTATTCAACTTGAAGGGGTAGGGTTCATGCTGAAGGTACAAACCTTAATAACCTTAATCTTTTGGCCACCTTTTTTGCAGGTTTAAAGGTTTCTTAGAAAGGTATAAAAACTTTTACCCTTGCTCAAATGCACACTAATAGAAGAAATAAAGACACAGAAAAATTAGGAGCTTTATTAAAACAATTTCTAATTCTGTATTCCTTCTCTTCTTTTGTCACGCATAATTATTTTTTAAGGCAGTTCCTTATGACTAGCTTGTCTGTAAATTTTCCCAGCCATTTCTGAATGCAATTTCTGGAAAAAACTGAAATGCTTATGTTGTACGGTTACAGACTGTGGAAAGCCTGTAACCAAGAGAGGAGAAAGATCATAAAATTGTAAACTGCAGAGAATACTCCTCCATGCTTTCTGCAAGGCACCAAAAGCTTCTCAGTAAACATTCAAGTTAAATTGAATGATGATGTCCCTATGTTTAAATTCCATAAACTATCATATGGTTTATAAAAAGCCAGAAGTAGAAAAGCATAAAACAGTTACTAGGGTTTTTTTTAATGTACATCTATATGACAGGTATGTTAAAAGGTAAATGTTTAGTCTAGAATATTTTTCATAGCACCTTATCAAGCAATTTATGTTATTATGCTTGATTCATGAGCTTATAAACTCATTTATTGTAGTGCATACTTTTTCTCCTTTGGAAAAAGAGTTTATTTTCAGAGTACACCATTGCTTTTATAAGTGTGTCTATTTTTTTTTCTTCTGCCTGGCTTTAGCTACTTTTAAAGTTAATTCTCCAGATTTCCTTCCCTCCCTTTTCCTCAGTTTTTTTACAAGGTAGATGAAAGAAAAATAAAAGCTTCCTCTTATATTTAACTGTTCACTTTGTCCATGTCAAGCCCCCCCAAATACTTTAAAAGCTGAGAGTCCCTCTGTAACCTGAGACACATCAGCTGATTATGGCATTCAGTTTCTTCTGTGCTTTAGACATCTTGGCTTATATTTGTTCTACAAAAGAGACTTCAAATACAGATAGTTGAAAGATACTTTTTCTGGAAGGACTGTCTGAAAGATGGGTGAAAAAGAAAAATGTACCTTTGGGGAGTATCCATGATAAGGAGGAAAAAATGGTTTTTCAGCTTACTGATGGATTGTAACCAATACAAAGCGGGTGCTTCATGTGTTAACTGGTTCTTAGGGTGTAATTTAGACTGGCTGTGCAGCATTCGTTGCCATTGAGAACAATTAAAAAAGAGCAGCTTGTCTTTGGGAATATAGGGCAGCTTTGAGGAATATGTCCTATGGTAACCAGATTATTTTGAAATGTCTTTCTCCTCATTGTCTGGAGTATAAGAAAATACTAACAGATGTTTGAAATCATCTAGGTGGTGGTGCTGGCTCTGATGACTGTGGAGCTGTTTGGCATGATGGGTCTAATTGGAATAAAGCTGAGTGCAGTGCCTGTGGTTATCCTGATTGCTTCTGTTGGCATTGGTGTGGAATTCACTGTTCATGTTGCTTTGGTATGTAAAATCAAGAAGCATTTCAAAAACATCTTAAAATAAAATGGCAATGTTCAGATCACAAATCTTTACAGTTTCTTGTCAGTGACGTGATTCTCAGAAGGAAAATGGTCACAGTTTTATGTACCTTTCTGTTTGTCTCAATGGAACAACAGTTGATCTTCATGAGGTGATTCCTAGCCATTGAGTCAGTCTCCCAGGAGACAACAGAGTCTCATTATCAGACTAACAGGTATCATTAGCTATGATACCTGTTAGTCTGATTAATGCAATTATATAGAGAAAACAGAGATCTTAAATCACCTTGCTTCATTCCAGACTCTCATGATCCTTGTCTGATGCCCCAGTGTTGCTGCATCAACATTACACAGCTTTCTGTTGCCTCTTGCTTGTTCTCTATCTCGCAAAAGAGAATTCATCAGAAGAGTTTTTCAAGATCAGATATTGTGTCATTTGGTATTTCTGGACTTTTTGAATGTGAACATTCAAAATTTGAATTAGTGTTCCATTTGTAAAATCTTCACCTTCTTTTCAGAAGCTATTGGCTAATAATAGCAGGCACAAACAGGCAGTCTGTAGGAAAATATTTTTCTACTGTTTATCTAGTGGTTTAGATGATGTACAGAGTTAGGGCACATAAAGTCACCCTAAATGAAAAGAATCATTTTGAGAAAAACCAAAGTGGAAGTAGGGTAAGGTTAAAGAGGAGCAATTGAATTCCTCAAGTGATGACATCTTTTTTTCCCCTGCTGCTACAGATACTTTTGGAGGCAAATGAATTTGCTAGGACTTTGAATTGTTTGGGAAGTGTTAGTGTAGATGAGGAAGAAAGAAATGACAGCTTCTTAGTATTGAAGACTTAAAACAGGAAAAATGGAATAAAAAAATGGACAAAACAGTTGTTTCTAGTTAGGAAGAAACCAATTTCATTTACAGGACTTTATGGGTCACCTGTGCCTGAAGGTAAAATGCCAAGCAAATTGAAAATACTGGTTTTCTCACATTGACACTGGAGATGAAAACTTTGGAACACATAAATAGTCAAATCAGTGTTGTATAAACAAAAAAGGTAGTGCTTTTAATGCCAAATTTAATTGAGTTTAAAAGTGATTCACAGTGCAATTGTGGGTCAGTTTTCTGCTATTGCTTGTGAATTGTGACCTTGTTTTTTTCTAGTTCTAGAGAAGAGGGACTTAAATTCCAGGACTGTGAGGAAGATAGCTGCTTCAGCACATATCTTAATAGCCAGTAGGGAATTAGCTAAAGAGAGCCCTTACAAACCACAGTAAGAAGATCAGTCAGGTTCTTGTTTTCTTAAACAATTAAGTCATACAAAGTAGACAAATTTATAATGAATTTATAACACCAGTATTTGCATGTTCTTGATAAAGCTTATTCATACAGAGTTGTAGGGATGAAGACAGTTCACTAGTGATATTGTTGCTCAGGCACTACCATGTTTAGCACTATTCCTAGGATAATTTTTTATGTATAGAACTGCTAGCTTTGAAGTACTAAAAGTTTCAAAAACTTTTTTGAGTGAAATGAAAATGTTAAAAAAGTCACAGAGGCCATGGACCCACAAGAATGAGAGGAGCAGCCCTGCAATTTTCACACCTGAAGTGCTTTCACCAGGATATGGATTCTTTTCAGGTGGAAATAGGCAAATCCAGAGACAAAAGGCTACTGTTACAAGTAGGAATTGCTTCCAGAATTATTATGGGCTGACCCTGTTATCAGTGCTTACTCTGGTTGTGTGACTTCAGCAGCTGCTGTGGTAAATCTGCAGGATCAAGCCTTCTCTCAAGGGTTAGGCAGCTATAGAGATAACTTTGATAAACTGTAGTTTAGAGTAATTAACTGATGGAAACCTGTGTATGCTAGGAGAGAGGCTGTTTGGAAGGTTGTATGCATCTGCCTAAGGAAATGGATTTTTTTGTTTTACAGGCATTTTTAACTGCCATAGGAGACAGGAACCATAGGGCTGTCCTTGCATTGGAACACATGTTTGCACCAGTGCTGGATGGGGCCGTGTCCACTCTGCTTGGGGTGTTAATGCTTGCAGGATCAGAGTTTGATTTTATTGTCAGGTAAAGCATTTTTGTGTTTTGACTTTCTTTCAAAAATAAAAATAACTGTGCTTTTAATTTTTATTCACTTCAGTGAATCTGTCATTTTATTACTGTGCATGGTGTGTCAAGTATGCTTATGTCATGGTCCTGCTTTCCCTCTGTTTTATTAACTCCTTGTTACTTGCTAGACCTGGTAGTGTTTCCATTGCTGACATTAAAATCTGTTCCAGGAAAATCTGAGACTTAGCATGAAGGAACACAAAAATGTTGCTCTTTAGAAAGTTTGCTGTTTCTAGGTTTGAATTAGTTCAAAGCATCTTGTATTGTCCAGTGTTAGCTGCAGCTGACCTTTAGCCTTGAGGTCCTCCAGACTTCTTGTATGCACAAGAATTTGTATGCAAAAGACATGTGAACCTACAAACATTCAACTGTGCTGCAAGTGACTCTCTCAGGGCCTTCGCCTTCTATCCTTATGTAGGTTTTACATAATGAGGAAAAGAGGTGGGGGATGTGTGGGGGAGAAGGCGCTGTTTGGGAGCTGGGGAACCATAAATATGAACACAGAACTTCATACTAAAATTTTGTACAGCAAACCTGAAGGCCCTTCTGTTTAGAACTACAAGCAGGCTGTTTCTTGTGAATATAATTAAGAAGGTGTGTTTGTCAAGTATAGAGGAAAGCAAGTCTTTTCTTGAGGGGAATTTGAGAAGTGCAATGAAACAGATCCTCTTCTACTCCAAACAACCTGTGGAGCTCTGCAAAATGGCTAATCTTAGAAGTAACACAGGCTCTTTGTGGTAAACTATAGCACACACACAAAAAAATAATCCAAGCCCTAAAATGGAACTGAGGTAGAACTGGGCCAAATAAAAATGCTCTGAAAGATGGCTAAACTACTTAGGTAGACATAAGCTGGATAGATGACTAGACTTAACTGACATCCGTTTGACAACAAGAACAACAAATGTCAGGGGCAGGAACTGGGAGAATGACTGCTAAATCTCATCAGGCTTTTTTTTTATGTATGAAAGAGATTTGAAGAAAGCAGGCGGATTGCAGTTAGATCTCATGGAACCTGCATGAAGAATATTACTATACAGGTTTTTTATGTTCTGAAATAAATTTTTTTTTCCCCAAAATCATTATTTTTTTACTTTATTGAATTGGTATTGAAGAAATAGAATTTTTCTTTTAGGAACTGGTTTTGTAAGGGCCAGAACATTTTGACATACAGGTTACTGATAGATTTAACCTAAATTTACAGGGGTATATTTTTGGTGTGCTACTTTCCCACTTAACAGATGAGATTTTGGCACACATTTTTGTGTCATAGCAAATGGAAGATTGTTGCAGCCCTTCGCACCAAATTTGGATTGGATGTGCTCTCAGTTTATAAAATGAGCCTTTCAACTTTTCAACTTATGTTATTTTACTTTTTTTGGCCATCAGTTTCTATTTTTATAGCACAATCTCACTTCAGTTTGCTGTGTTTAAAAAATATAATAAAGTAAACTATGGGGAGCCTGAGCATTGTTAGAGTGGGCGAAGAAGATCCTAAACTTCCGGAAAGCGACAGATTAGTCCAGCAATGTGGAAGATTAAGTAAATTAACAGACACTGTATACACCAACTGGTCAAAGCCATAATCCTCCTGTTTATTCTAACATTAGATGGATGAGATGCAAATGTTTTTAATGTCTGTTGTTGATCTGTGTCCCAGTTTAAAGTTCTGGTCGTTTATGTTAGTAGAGTAGATTGGCTTGCTGATTTTTGTTAATGCAGATCAGAAATTCCCAAATGTTTACAATAGCAGGATATTTATAGTTTTACAGGAGTCTGATATATTTGATCAGATGTGGAAACAGGGAGGCAGTAAAGTTTGTTGCCAGCTAGACAATGTAATCAGCAGACCCATTAGCAAACTTGCCCTCTGTTCTTCTCCTTTGCCTTCTCCTTCAGGAATTTACCAAGACTGAGTCCTTGAAATCATTAGTTACAACGCAGCCTTAAGTTTAGTCTGAGCCCCAGCTGTGCCGAATACCAACTAGCAAGACTTTCCTTTTACTGACAGGTTTACCTTGGTATTCATGAAGGATCCCAGACCTTAGCCCTCAGTGGTGGGAAAGGACAACTACTTGTGCACTTTTCTCTTCTTCCATAGTATTTCAGCCTTTATGTTTGAATTGGCTGACGCAAAACAAGAGTATTCAGAGATGCTAAATTGTTCAACAAAAGATTAGCCTGCAATGCAGCTCTGCCATTGTGGAGCGCTCTTACTCAGTACAATGCTGAAGCTTACTATAGAATGGGCATTTTCTTTGCAGAAGGCGGGTTCCTGTGTTGTAAAGAGTTGCAATTCAAGCTATTTGGTAAAACTGGAACTCACAGAATTCTAGGCGTTAAGTTTGATTAATGAATGGCAAGGAAAACCCTTACCTGATATACTGTAGATTTAATTAGACATTCTGCTGTAAGTTGCAGAAGCATTTCACAGTGGATTAGCTGCTGGGAGAAGAGGGCTTCTTTTCCTTCTACACTAAATTGTTTAAATTCTACACCCTTCACTTCATTTGTTTGCTTCTGCTGGGTTTTCACTAATGGGGGCCCCTTTTCATTGTATTTGTGCTTTCAATCCATTCAGCCCTTCCCTGCACATTCCATATTTTTGTGTTTGTGTAACACATTCATAAATAACATTACATGCTTTCAAATTCTGGGAAATTAACAAATTTAATTTTTTTCTTTCCTTTTCAACTAACACTTTGTGGAATGTAGCTTCTCTAATGCAAAAGGTAAAAATCCCAATATTTTATATGGAAAGTGATATAAATGTTTCCTTTGATGTTAGTAATATGTTAGAGTTAATTTAGGATCTTTATTATTTTAACATATGTTGGAGTAATTTGTGATCCCTTGTTTCTAACAGTGGCTATTCTCTCCCCCAAACTATTTAAACTGTACTTCAGGTATTTCTTTGCTGTTTTGGCAATCCTAACCATTCTGGGAGTTCTCAATGGATTGGTGCTGCTTCCTGTTCTTCTCTCATTCTTTGGACCATACCCTGAGGTCAGTGAAATTAATACAGAACAGAAAAATGATACTATGTCTGTGTTGCTGTCCCCCTCAATCACCCCCTGGTTTTAGGAAATATTTTTTAAATTTTCTTGGATTAAGTTTATTGCTCTCAGGCTTCTTTATAAATTTTTATTAAAAGTGCTGTTTGGTACATAGTTGATACTACACCTTTTTAAAGTTTTTTTTTTTTTTTAATAAGTCTTGTTTTAGAGGTCACAATAAGCAAACCTGATAGGGTTATTTATACTACTAGCGTAATGTGATATGCAAAGAAGTTTGTAAAATAAGGATTTCCCTCAATATTTTGCAAAAGATAGTTTGTTTTATACATATAACTTCTACTTTCCTACCTCAGCGGCTCTGTTGCATTCCTCAAAGTGTTTAGCTGAGCAGACCACCAGGAAGGCCCGTGTGGACCAACACACACAGTGGTGGTCGAGAGACCACACCTTGATAACCAGGATTGGTCTGCCAGAAGGTCCCCACTGCCCAGCCACCTCTCCCTGTGGCATTCTCCTGCCTCAAGTAGCATTTTTGTTGTGGGGAAGGCTTCACTTAGATGTTGAAGACTTTACAGCACAAACTCCAAGTCCAGACTGCAGGATTCACGGATACCAACTTTATATTTGGTTGTTGGTCATTTATTACCTACCCTGTAGTTAATACAATTACTGTGTTATGTGGGGTTATCTTTATCCTGTGTCAATAGAATCAGTGTGCTATGTTTCATATATCTATATATATGTATGTGCACAAGAACAAAACACAAGGTATGTATTCAGCACTGGTATATTTCACAAGTGTTTGGGTTTTTTTAATATTAGTAAAACAGTTTTGACAACAATGTGTACTCTCCTAATTCCTAACAGTATGCATGACCTGTCTATTACTCAAATAATGTGAATGTGTGTGTTATTACCATATAGGTTGCTGTGATGTGTGTATCCATCTCTCTTTGCAAACAAACATGGAGTAACACTGTCCCGACCCACTGAGGTGATTTTATGGAATCACTGCTAATACTTGCTGAAAGGGGAGAGGAGCCCACATATTATTTTTGTTTTTATATTTGCGAGTGCATGCACATACACACATGTATGCTCTTCCTGATAAAATGATATTCAGAATATCTGTGTAGTCTTGTTTACATATGTATCTGCAGATGGAGATCATATCTTTTATACTTCCATTATTTTTTTCAGTTCAGTATCTGTGTTCATCAGAAAACTGTTGCTAAGCTTGTTGTGGCACGGCAGGGTGTATTTGGCAGAACATTGCTTGTGTCAAGCTCTAGTGATTAAAAGGCTAAAGCTAGCTGAATGTAACTGAAAGTGTTGCTGTCACCAGGTTTCTCCAACCAATGGACAGGACAGATTGCCCACACCATCTCCTGAGCCACCCCCTGGTACTGTGAGGTTTGCACTGCCACCTGGCCACACAAATAATGCTTCAGATTCCTCTGATTCTGAGTACAGCTCTCAAACCACAGTGTCTGGAATCAGTGAAGAGCTGCATCAGTACGAGGCCACCCGAGGTCCTGGGGCACCAGCCCATCAAGTAATAGTGGAAGCGACTGAGAATCCTCTCTTTGCAAGATCCACTGTAAGTATCTTTCATATGTATTAGCAGGAAGGCAAGAAGAAGTTTTTTGGTGTGCTTTGTGTTTTCGGTTTTTTTAAAAAGATCCATTTATCTTCATGGAAAACTCTTTATGACAGATTGTGCTTTGTGACTTCGTGCCAAAACCTGTTCACAGAAGTGAAGGTTTTTCCTGATTCTCTCCTTTACAACTGAGCTGGGGATAAAGTGGTGGGCCAAAAGCAGGCGTTTGTCATGGGTAATTGCTATTACATCCTATTGGCACCAGCCACAAGAGAGAGCTCTCAGTCTGTTTGATGACTGTTTTCAGAGAGAGAGGGAGGCATTACAAGATACCAGCCTCTTTCATACAGCTCCTTGTGGATTGCTGTAATATACCTCTCTGAGGCAGCACATTTTGGAGAGAAAGATTAGAGCCAGAAGAAAGCAGTTTAAGTGTTGTACCAAATCTTGGGCCTAGTTGCATCTTGCTACTGGGTTGGCATAATTGCGATTTCAAAGGAAAGTGAAAAAGCTCTGTCTCCTACCCCTGCTGATGTTGCATGCTGAGCTGCAATGCGGATCTGGTTTTGTTCAGCAGAGGCCTAGAAATAGGTACAAGCACAGCCACATTTGAAGTTGGTCACGGTTTATTGACTGATGTAGCTGCTGTGCTTCACGGTCTTTATGGAAATCAGAAAACAGATTCCTACAGTCTATACAAAGTACCCTACTAACATCCTGTGTATGTTCCCTGCATGGAATAGCCTTTTCCAAATGCCTGCAATTCTGCTTGTTGAGTTAAGACCAAGTGCTTGTCACCCATCCCTTTGAAAAGATGGACCAGCATGTATGAAGCTTACAATAATGTTTTCAGCTGTCATCTTGTGTTTTCTGAAGATGAGCTTTCCAGGTTTTAAAAACTTCAGACAAAAACCATGGAAAAATCAATTATCAGATTCCACCACATTGCCTTTGTAGAGTCAGAGCATTATTATAATTATTCCCAGCATAAAACATAAGCAAGCGTGGTATTTGCTTGCTTTGCTGTGTCAGAGGCGTAACCGTGTGTGTCTCTCTCAGGTGGTTCAGCCGGAAGCCAGGCATCAGCCGAGCCCTCGGCTGCAGCCGAATCCAGAGCCCAGCACGCAGCAGCCATGGCATCAGGGCAGGCAGCCCAAAAGGGAAGCGAGGGAAGGGCCGCGACCACCTCCTTACCGCCCTCGCAGGGACGCTTTTGAAATTTCTACTGAAGGGCCCTCGGCACCAAGCAGCAGCAGCAGCAGGGATCGCTTGGGCCACAAGGCTCGCTCGCACAGCGTTCGGAGCCCGGCATTCGGGGCCGCGGGCGCCGCGGGAGCATCCTACTGCCAGCCCATCACTACTGTGACTGCCTCAGCCTCAGTCACTGTTGCTGTCCACCCTGCCCTGCACAGCCACAGCCCTCGGGGAGCGAGCTTTCCGTCCTATGAGGGACACCACGAGGCTGGCCATGCGCCATTTGAGGACCCCCACGTGCCTTTTAATGTGCGATGTGAAAGAAGGAATTCTAAAGTGGAAGTTATAGAACTGCAAGATGTTGAATGTGAGGAGAGGATACCTGGCAACAGCTCACAATAAGGTAGGTCCATCCTGCGTAACTGCAAGCTTTGACCTGTGTCAGGCAATGGTGTGATCAAAAGAAAGAGGAAAATTAAATTTCTCAGAGGTAACTTTTCATGGACAGCACTACTTACAGGTCACGCTGATCACCTTAAATCTGCTAACTGTGAATATAGTACATTTTGCACTGGACATGAGGTTGACTAAGGTAGAGCATTCCAACACTGGGAAGTCATACTTTAAAGAGCCTTGCAAAATGGATAAGTACATCATACAATCTCAGTTTACCTGATGAGGAAAATAAAGCAGAGATGTTGTATAACATCTTCAGAGCTGTGCAACTGCATATGCCATTGTGTAAGTCCTGTCTTCTGATCCCTGAATCAGGCATGCTCTCAAACATTATATAAAATAACATTGTCTAGGAGAGTGTAAAAATTGTCAGCTACTTGAGGAGTTGTCATCTCTTGAATAAAATAATTTGTGAAAGAATTTAAAGTCCATAATAAGGACTGAATCCCTCTGGAAGATGAGCCAGGTGAGAGGTGGGAAGTCCTACATGCCTAGTGCACTTCTGCTCAGCAGAGTGTCCCCTGCTCTTTGGAGGGGCCTTCAGAGACCTCCCCTGTGACCTCGTACACTGGAGATGTCTGAGCTGACCTCTGCCATGCCAGGGGCATCTGCAGTGGCAATTGCAGGTTTGCACAGGATAGAGCTGCCCATTGAGTTTTTACACTGAAAACTTCTTGGGGCTCTTACATGAAAACTATTTCTCACTATTTTTACTATGTTCTCTTGCAGGGAATAGAATAGTTACTTATCTGTGGATTACTGTTTTTTCTCTTTGCTTGTCTGAGCTTTTCAGTGACAGACAACAGTCTGAGCAGAGCAAGTAATTTTATTTTGATTCTAGAATATTTTGCATTTATGCATGCATGCATATGTATGCAAACACACAGAGTTTTGACAGAAATTTCTATGATAATTCAAAATGAAACCACTTTTTAAATCATAAAATGTCTCTCCAAACATCCCAAAGCGTAAATAGGAGTGAATGCCTTTAGCCTTGCAGTCTAGAAATATGGCAAATACTAGTATCCACAGAATAAGGAAATACTTGGGCTTAGTTTTTTCAAACTGAAGTGTACGTTAATGTGAGACTCTTAAGTAAACTCAGTATTCAATGTAGCATACTTCTTCAACTGTTCATTGGTTTTGACTGAATTTGTCACAGCTATCTAAAACTGGGAACTTAGAAATTAAAGCATGAACATTTTTTTTAATTGGCATCAGTATTTCTTCACCAGGAAATTAATAACTGAGATGAAAGTAGAGCCAGCATTTCCTGACTACTAAATCTAACCACAAGAATCATGAAATGAGTTGGTTTCATTTGGTTTGTTTTTCTTGAAATTCAGTGACTGTTTGCTTTTTTCTCTCTCCTTATTTGTACAGGGTAATAACTGAAGCAAAGAAGAGGCCAAAGATGGAAAACTGTATTCCAGAACTGCTTGAAGAGAAGAACTGCTTGAAGTTGTAGAAAAGGACATGCTGCATCAGGACAACAGTTCACTGTTACTGTAACCTATTGTATTATTTTGTTAAATATTTCTTTTAAGTATTTAAAAGATGTACACATATGTAATATACAAAAGAATGATGTAAAGTAGTATAGTCTGGAGTAATTTGCCTTTGGGCAATAGAATGGGGACAAAATTGTGTGCTCTTTGTACTTTTTGTACATTGATATCTGTGCCACAACTAAGCTTAATCTAGTTCTAAATTTCAGCATAAGTTGCTGCTGCTTAAATATTTTATAATTTACTTGTATAATTCTATGCAAATATTGCTTATGTAATAGGATTTTTTAAAAGATACATGTCTGTTTAAAATATTTTAAATTTGTGTATCACAACCCTGTGGTAGTATGAAATGTTACTGTTAACTTTCAAACACGCTATGCGTGGTAATTTTTAAAATAAGCAAATATGAAGAAAAGCGAGTTAATCTGGGAGGCTTAAATAGACTTAGCTATGTGCAGGTTTTGTTTTGCTGTATGTGTCCAAGCGTGCATCTGGAAACATGCCTGCTTTTGTGTGTATGTTCCTGGTGTACTCTAGTTTCTCTTTTACTGTATGTTAACACTTGGTGGGTTTGCAAACCCACTCATGCTGATGTGAGTCTGGCTTTCCCTGTTAGTAGGCACTAGTGAAAACTCTGTTGTTGTTTACCAATATATACAACTATAGACTGCCATCATCAAAGGCCCAACTAAAATACTAGAGAAGACAGGGAGTTGAGGTTTAGAATTATATTTCAGTTCCCAAACCCTTAAAGACTTGTTTCACATTACTTTAGTCAAGTTACTTAACTGCCCCATGCCTCAATTTTTCATTCTGTAAAATGGTTATAATTACACTTACCTACCTCCCAGGAATGTTGTGAGGCTTAATGACAGTTCATGTAGTGCTTCGAGTTTTTTTTTTCCCTCGCAAAATATGCCAGGTAAGTGCAAGCACTATGACCAAAGGTGCTGCATATTGACAGGTGCTGGTGGTTATAGAAATACAATGAGCATTTGATCTGCCTTATTTTGATACTGTTAATTTTGAATGGGATCAGAAGCTGGATAATGGATTGTTTGATGGTGAGCCACAGCTTAGCTGAGTCATTACAACATTGAAAGCAGTATCTCTGGTCACCTTATTTTCGTGGCAGGAAGGAGTTAATAGTAAGTAATAAAAATCAAATGGAAGGATTAAAAAAAAGTACATTCACTTTTAAATATAAATGACTTTCCGGTGGGCCAGGATGGTAATGACACTTAAGGCCTGGGTAGTTATTTTCTTTATTGTTTGTGTTTTCCCATGCTGCATTGGCACTTTTAATTATAACAGCTAAACTGGGATCTCTTTGCGAAACTAATTTAGCTTTTTGTACTATTATTTTTAAACTAAAAGGGGATTGCTGCAGGTGAAGGGTCTGGAAAAACACTGCAATCTGTGTTCCCACTGGAAACAAAATGTAGGAACAAAGAACCTTAATTTAAAATAATGCAACACAAGTTTTCGTTATCTCCGTCTTCTTTTTTTATCTTTTTCTGCCCTTCACCAAGCTGGTTTTTAGAGCAGGTAGATGTTCAGTTTTGTATTCAGAGCCAAACACAGCCAATATTCAGTTTCTAAACACAGCAGTGGTGGGGCTTTTCTTTATGCATACCTGAATAGCAGTGGCCAATTCTTTGATGGGAAAGTGTTTTTCTCCAGTGGCTTCAGGGAGTCTATCTTTGCCTACAGACCTTGCCAGCAAAACGAATGGGGATAATGAGAATGCACAAAATTCCATGCCTTTTTTGCTCACTTGAAAACACTTTGATATGAGGCACTTGTTTACAGATCTCCAATGTGAACGCTCGAAGAGCAGGTGGCGAGAGCCTGGTGTCATTCCCGTGATACATAAGCTACTGTCTCAGTGCACACCAAGGGTTAATGTCGCAACTGCCTACTGGTCCAGTTCACTGTCTAACATGAAAACTCTTGATGACAAAAAGATGAGGGGCCCCAATTTAGCACGAGCAGCATAGTGACCTCAGATCATACAAATCTGCAACAAAACTGTATGATACCAGTTGGAAGCCGCCTTCAACCACCAAGCTTGTGCGCTCACTTGTCAGAGACCGGCAGGGCTCCCACTGGCACCACTCCGTGCCGCAGGCTGCCTTGCTTCCTGCTCTTCCTCGGCAGGCAAGGGGCGCAGGGCAAGTTGCAGTGTCTCCCACCTGCCCCTGCCCCAAGCCTGCCTGCGTGCTTGTGTGTGGGTGAGCTGTCTGCTGCTTTGTGCACAATGTAGACCTTCTTCTTCGATAGTCACATTGGCAAGGGGAGAACTCAGTGGCTGGCAACCTTTGTTTTGTTTTGGTTTTGTTTCTTAACTTTTTTAATCATGGGTGATATTTATATTTTTGTATCATAAGAATGTTTTTCTTACAGTATTTGTCATGCCAGTTTATAACAAACAAAATGCAGGGATTTTATTTCTATTGGAAACACTATTACAGTTATGTTTTTATTGTTTAATGGATTTTTATTTGTATAGAGTGCTTACTAATGTTAAATAGGAAAGAGTATATAACATTTACATTATGGACTTGTAGCTTTTAGTGTAAGGAGTTAAAAGGAAAAAATATTCAAACTGGGTCTCATTGCCTGCCTATTTGGTAGGAGTGGGTTTGTGTCATTTCAGTTACAAAGATAAAATTATGCCATATAATTTATTTATATGAAAATTTATTTTTGTAGTGTACATAGTAGTCATCAAGTCTTTTGACAGAAGTATATTTTTAAAGAGTTTATATGTAATGATGATACCATTATGTTTTGGAACACTGCTGAGATACAATTACAGTGCACACTTTTCCTTGTAAACCCCCTGGAGAAAAGAAAGTGTTTAACAGTGTTAAGAGAGAAAGAGAGTGTGACTGTTCATACAATTCTGAACTGTGTTTTAGTTACCATTTGTGATCTAGCGTGGTTCTCATTTTAAGCTTTGAATGGAAATTGTAAAAACTCTCTAAATATTAATGTTCAAACACTGATAGAAATTCTAACATGAATAAAAAAATATTATAACTTACTGGATATGGATTTGCTTGTTTATGGAATGCTTCTTTATTTACTGCTGGTTATCTCTGCAGATGCAACCATGCAATCATTCTGATTTGGAGCATGAATCTGAGATCTTTCAGTATTTGGGATGTATGGGATATTCAGATTTGCCCATTTGCAGCAGGAGCCATTTGCTGCCCTGTCTGAAGAGTGGCATGCTGGCCCTTGTCTGTTGATTCTGTTACCTTTGCATGCTGGGGGGATAGGTTTAGGACTGGGTTATGCATGTCCTTCTCAGTCTGAATGAAACGATTTGTTGACTAAAGCACTTTATAAAATATAAAGGTTATTTCTTCTTAGACATGGGAGGAAATTCTTTGTCTTTTTCCCATCTCTGTGGGAATTTTCACCCTAAATTTTCACCTTGGATAACAGAATCAGTCTGGTATTTCCACTTTGTGGAAGAAAAAATAAATGTGTTCTGAGTTCTGAAAACTACAGCCGTCCCTAAGAAGGGAGACTCTTGACAAAATTCCCTCTGGGAAGCGTGCTACTGCTTGCCAGCCAGGGTGCAGGTCCCTGTGCCCCACACAAGCCCCACTAGGCAGGGAGGAGAAGCTGCAGTGGGCAGCAGGGAACAGAGTAACATCATCTGTCTGAAGTCATTTGCATCGCAAACCGCAGGGTGTTTTTTCCTGTTACTCTGCCCAGCATCCTTCCAAGTGCCACAGAGCCATCAGTCCTTCACTTTATCCTTTAACCCTTAGATGATCTTTTTACATGAGACTTCTAAACGTCTCATAAGGAAAAAGCCCAAACCTGTCTTGAGATAATTAATAATTCAGGCTTTACCTTCCATGGCCAGAGTAAATACAAATACAATTTTCAATTTTATGTTTTCTGGAAGTTTAACCGCAAAAGAGAAAAGCAGAGTTAAAGGACTTGAACTGCAAAACTTCAACACATATGTTTTTACTACTCAAAATACTCTCCCTCACACCCTCAGGATTAGCCAGCCTGAGTCAGGTTGCAGATTTGGCTCTTGTGGATACAGCCCATGAGAATAGTGCTCACTTAGGCCTTGCTTTAGCTCAACTCACTCACTTCATCTTTTATGTCCAGCGATCCATGGGAGCTGCTCCATTCACACAGCTGGAAACCATGTAAATAAATCAATACATTCTGTCCGTCAGAACATGGGTTTTTTTCCTTTAAACATTCTGTTTTGCAAAAACAATAGTTATTTACATAATACTACTTTTCATGTTTAGTTTTCTTATCATTTTGCTGTCAGTCTGATTAACCCCAGGTAAGAACTTGATCTGATTTTTGCCAGAGATTGGCCATATTTATTCAGGCCTTAAGTAAACATGTGGCCAAATTTTTGTTGGCATAATGCATGTATTTAACAGCTTCAGGAATGCTACATGCTGCTAAACTGCAGCAGCACTGATATATGAACAGGTGTTTCATTTTTGTTAACTTTTACTCCCAAGGAGCATTTGAGACACTGACTGTTTATATCTGAATATACCATTGCCAAATTGTAATTATTTTTAATGTCTGCTTCAAGCAATGAGAACAATCACTACTTTCCAACTGCATTTAATCATTCTTGTCTTTTTTGTTGCAAACATGTTGAATCTTATTGCTCGAACAGGGTGCGTGCCAGGCAACAGCACTACCTAGCTTGAGTGGCTTGGAAAAACACACGCCCAGTTTAACTGGTTAATTTCAGCTAATTAAGCACAAAAATGAAGCAGTACTCTGTTTTGGAAAAAAGAAAAAAAGTTTAATGTATATGCTGGCATATTTGATACTGCAGAAATCATTTTGCTTCTATAGACACTATGAAAGAAATCTCTGGCTCAGATACTCGGTTGTCTGCAGTGTCATCTGGGCCACTTATCACCCTTCCACAGCTCTCCTTATGAACATTTCCACTCTTATTTTAACAGCTGTAATTGGGTGGGTCACTAGTGTTCAAGCTGCCACAGCAGCTGAAAAGCAGCACCTTGCCATTGGTGCAAGGTAAGGCTGTAATGGAGAACATTGTATTTAGGGTTAATGATGCACAGAACACAAGGCAGCTTGTGTTTTAGCCTGTTTTGCTAATCCAAGCATTCTCACAGGCTCTTCTCCAAGCTTACCTCAAGCTGCCAGTTAAAAGTTACTTGATCTGTGAATCTCCTAGATGAATTAGAGTGTCAAGTGTGCACAGTGGATGCAAACTTTTACACAATGGAGCACAAAAAATGTGGCTTTTCTCTCTGGTCTGTCCATCCCTTGAGTTCAAATCTTTGCAGCGGGCCCAACTTCACAGGCTCCTAGCTGCCTAACATACCACATCCTAATGAAACCTGCTGGGGAGCAAGGCCATAAACCAGGGAAGCTGGGAAACAGGGAGATTGGAAGCTGGAGGTTGGAAACTGCTTCTTAGGCAAGGAAGGGCTCTGCCTTGGTGGAAGAGGGGCCAGACTTCACTTAGGGGTATGTGAATGAGGTGGATTTCCCCATCTGTTGAGTGAGGAAGGACAACTGAAATATTTGAAAAGTGATTTATGGCAGAAACGAGAGACTTTGGATGCTCTGGAAGAGGGAGAGCTCCACCATTTGATTTAGGAGACCCTAAATGGTATTATAAATTTATTTCAACACCTAGGTAAAATTGATTTTACTGCTCCAGGTTGAGTCAAGGTTAGTGCTTGTGGATTTTTTCATCTGAAGTTTGTTTGGGGAAAAGATTTGTAGGAAGGTATGTCTGCCTAGGCTTTTGAAAGAGAGAAGAAGGTAAAGGCATTTAACATGAATTACTTGGCAACTGAGAAGAACTCAAAGGAATTACACTATCATGTTTCTTTTTTCCCAGATTTTGTAACTTTGATGAAGGGAAATCTTTGCTCTTTCTCCACCTGGT